TTGATCATCAAAATGTTATAGAAAAAAATACATATTTAAAAATAAATTATATTAAAAAGACTAAATTATTAAAAAAAAGTGATGCTAATAGCCCAAGAATACGTTGAAGTAATAGATTATGCAGAAAACTATATCATGGTATAATTATAATTATTAGCATGCTATTATAATTCTATTAAAATTTATATTCATGAATAAATCCAAATTATTTTAGATGGATGTCAAAAATAGTTTCTTCAATAGAATCAAAAATAAGAAATGAATGTATATCAACCTCTAGGATTTGCTAATCTTGAATTATTGAGTCATGTGTTTAGGTTGAGAAAAGTCCTATATGGGTTAAAGCTAGTTCTTAGAATTCTTACAGATTAAATTCATTTTTGGTTGATAATAATTTTGTTCAAGAAAGGTAGACACTATAATCTTTATTAAAATGATAAATAACAAAGTGTTAATTGACTTTAATGATGAACCCATGTGTAAAAAACTCTCCACTCTTATGAAGAAAGAATTTGAAATTAGTACAATGATCGGATTAACATAGTTTATAAGTCTTCAAGTAAAGCAATTAGACAATAAAATATTTATCTCTCAAATGATTACGTAAGAAATTTAAAATATAATGATTAAAATCTAAAAGTATGTCTATAGAGTTGAAATATGAACTAAATCTTGTTGAAAAGAAAATGTGGTTACATAACTTTGTACAAAGACATGATCAGGTCTATGTTGTATCTAACTGCTAATAAACCTAATATTATCTTTACTATCTATGTACTAGATTTCAAAATGAACATAAAGAGTCACATCTAAGTGCGGTAAAGAGAACTGTTGTATGTTTGGTAGAAAGTAAATCGATAGAACTTTGGTATCATAGGGATTGTGACTTAAATCTAATTGGATATTGCGATTCCAACTTTGTGAGAAGTCAAATTAATAGAAAACGTATCAATAGATAGTGTCTATTTTTAGAAGGTTATTTGATATGCTTATTCTCCAAGAAACAAAACCCAATTAGTTTATCAATTTTTGAAGTTGATTACTATTTAGCTGGTAGTTATTGTGGTTATGTAGCTGGGATAAAGTCATATCCTGGACATTACGGAATGAATATGTTCTAGAAAATTGCTTCAATATCACTGGTGAGAACATACCAACGATTGCACTCGCTTTTTCACCTTCATCCTCACCCAAATCCCTTCCTATGCCCTTCTCTGCCCTATCACACTCCCACTCAAATTTTCTTCCACTCCTCTAAAAGAAATGCCCATTCCACCCACTACCACATCCCCTAAACCTTAGAAAGCAAAGTAAGAATATATCATTTAACCTTTAAAAAATTAGTGAAATATCCATATAAATCATTGTCATCTATCATTTTTTTGAAACATTGCCCTTTTCACTTGGTCCACTCATGTGGTCATTTTATTTCGTTCTTGTTTTAATAAAGAACTTGCCCCATGATTTGTCTTTCTGTGGCTAAATTTAATATAATGTTTGATGGGATGGGCCAGATAAATTTATATCCCTTCCTATTATTAGTGCTCATTTAGTCACCATGCCCTACAAAGTATTTGATAAGTGACATGCAGTTCATGGTCATGTTGCTATCTAGCATTTATGATTAATAAAAAATAATATTTTGACCTGAAGGTAGGAGCATCTAAAGTTTTTCTATCATCAGTAATTAATAAACCTAAAATGACAGAAAAATTAATATTAGGGCAATGTCATAGCATGATGCATTCAACTTGTCAATACTTATCTTCAAATGGGTCCATGTAATTATCTTCATTGAAGAATCTAGATACATTAATGGGACTATGAAATGTAAGGGAGACCAAGAAGAAGAGAGGGGTGCTAAACATAAGATTACAAGAGCTGCATGAGATAGGGACTGCAAAATATATTGAAGAGACATTATACAAAAAGAGCACCCTAAAGTAGATCTTTTTCAATGGAGAGGGACAAGTGGTTATAGTCTAAATAAATATTTCATGGTAAAAAAAATTACTTAAGTTTATATTCAAGCTAACAAAAACCAAGCAATGTCACACTTAGAGTTCCTTGACGATTTAGACGATTAACACCTAGCAAAGATCTATGTATTATGAAGATTTGCTTTCATATGGTGGATGAGGACGGATTTTATAAATAGACTAATTTTATAAACCATACTCCACTTGAAAATATAGAATTAACTGTCCCTTGAACCATAAATGAAAGGAATACATGAAATATTATCACGCCTAAAACATTGTAAATAATTGGATGAGCTGATTTTAATTGACTATGCACTGGATTATTAATTTTATTTGTAGCTTCTGTATTCTACCGTCTCAAACAGTATAATATGCCCCTAGCACTCCTATTCTCTAAGAAGAAAAATCGGCTTGCGAGTGTAAGTAAGAATGTGGAGGTAAAAACTTAAGTGAATTTCGAAGTACGGCATGAAAGAATATTTCGTACATATCATCACATCTACGTAGGGACCAACCAAAAGCAAAAGTCTCTTCGGACGCCTTGTCCCCGTCCTATCATCCTCCTCTTCTTCATTGAGCAAGATCCTCCTCCACGGACATTTGCAGACGGCTTTACTTGTCCCCGTCTAAGAGAAGCGTGCCCACTAGGGCCCCTCGTACTCACACGTGAAGGAGAAACCTCTGCGGCAGCAGTCTCCGATCTCATATCAGGTTTCCCACGGGGAACCGGCCTCCTATTCCTCTCGGGATGGGCACCGCAGCGAGCTGCGAGAGGACCACCAGCTTTCCCCAGCCGCCCAAGGCTGTTCCCACCCGCCGCCCGTCGCTCCATTATTGGCGGACGAGAGGTCTGCCGGCGACGGAAGGAGACGGAGGTCAGAGAAGCCCGTGACTCTCTCACTGTCCGGGATCCCTCCCCAGGCGGCTACCCACCGGACGATGCCGCCGTGATATCCCCCCCCCCCCCAATTCGCCACCCGTCCTGGTCATCAGCTTGTCGATCCGGAGCTCCAGCGTAGTTCCACGCCGGAGATGTTGCACCCGTCCAAGAAATAATGTTAAAATAATGCATTAAAAAATAGCACTAAAAATTAATATTAAGGTGTTTATGGCACTATGAACCTCTACTTACATGTACCACCTATAATTAATCGGTTATAATGAGAGTGAGCTCGTATGTTTAAGTAGATGCACATTTTAACCTGACATTATGTAAATACATTTTTTGAGACAGTATTCTTATGCTTAATAAACTTAGAACTCAAACAATGTATTGTCAAAGAATTAAACTAAGTTCAAAATCAGTTGACAACGAATTCACGAAAGTACACATAAGCACAACTATTAATAGAAATATGATATTTGTAATATTAAAAGAGCTAGATATTGTAATATTGCTATGCAATAAAACCGATTATAGAAAGTAATATATTCGTACAATAACACGAAAGAAGTATTCTTAAACTAAATGACACAAATATGATTGACTGCTAGAAGCCGTTGTCATTAAACATGTGATTTTCGTAGACTATGGTATGCCCAGAGCATAAACTTAGCTTATAAATGCGGCTGAGGTGTAGTCCCACGTCGATTAATGAGGAAGAGCCAGGGGGTCGTCTTATCGGCGCACCGAAGGCCAAGGGTCGCCGTCCGGTTGGTCGAGTGGGGGGCTCGGTCTTGCGATGTGGAGTCGTGGCAGGAGAGAGACCAGGCGGCGCCGCCGTTCCTTCCCACGGCGAGAGCTGCACTGGAAGAGCCGCGCTAGCAGGGCCAGCGAGGGCGCTTGCAGGCAAGAAGCCAAGAGCCCCTGGCATCCCCCGTCTGCGAGAGCTGCGTAGAGAGGACAAGCGTCTCCGGCAGACGCGGCCCGGCTAGGAGGTGGGATGGGTCCAGGGCACGGGGGAGTCGGGAGATGGGACACGTGAACCGACCGCAGAGAGAGGGAGAGAGAGAGAGTTAAAGTGTGTGAGGGAGGGGGAGAGAGATAGAGAGTTAGAGCGAGTGAGACAGACAGAGAGGGAGCGAGATGGGGAGAGAGAGAGAGAGAGAGAGAGAGAGAGGGAATCCCGCGTTCCAGTCTGAACGAGTGTTGCGTAAACTTCCATTAATGACGAGTAAGAATTTTAGACGGTTTGTGTTCCATGTGCACTAACCGACGATGCACTGCGGAGCCAGGAAAGAGTGAGTGAGAGAGACAGAAAGATTCCCCTGCCTATATGAGAAGGGTCCGCGGAGTGAAGTAGGGAGGGAGAGAGAGAGAGAGATGAGAGATGAGACCTATCTAACTTGACATCGAGAGGGAAATTCTGAGCTAACTAAATATGGGTTAGTGATGATTGATGATTTCCTTGGGTTCACTTAAGCTCCCAATGTGATATAAATTCCAGGATTTGAGAAGAATCAGCGTGTATGTATAATCCTTTAACTTTCAAGCATTGAACATTGCGCAAGTCAGAAATTATGATAAACCATCCGAATGTTCTGGATTAGGCGTTGAATAGCCAAGATTAATTATGGCATGTCTCGCTGGATGCGCTCAAGAAACATTATAGATGAATTCTGTATTTAAAATTAAGTGAAACATTCTAGCGAAATCAAGCAAGATGAATGAAGTCCCAATTATGGGAACTAAATTAATATTGTTTCATATTTACGTGTTGATAACAATGAAGACTAAAAATTAAGGTAAAAACCAACAAACCATAGATTTTTATTTCATAAAAGTATGACTTTGCTGGTAATCATGATGTTCTGTGGATTAGATTCATCCATGGAATATATGCAATTATATTCCTTTGGCAATAGTGAAAATTATAATTTCTTTTAACATGAGAGGAATTTTCCTCTTCTTCTTTTTGCACGTATGATTATATCATCATTGGATGAATGAAAGTAAATCCGCAGGAGAAGGCAACTTCAGACTTGAGAGCCTCTATTCTATATAAGCTTGCCCACTCCACCAGTCTATCCACACCCACCAATCCCCCTCGGTGCACCCAGTCTGTGGAGTTCCCCGTCATGGCCGCCTTCCTCCTCTTCTCCTCCCTCCTCCTCCTGCTCGCTTCCTCGGCGAGCGCCGCCGGCCGCTGCGCCGCTCGGCTGGACTCCTCGTCGGACATCTCCATCCTCCACGCCTACGACGACTGCTCCCCCTTCTCTGTTCCCGGTACTTCTCCGAGTTCCTGGTTCGACACCGTTTTGGGCATGGCGGCCAAGGACCCAGCAAGGTTCACCTACCTGGCCTCCCTCATCGCCACCGCCCCCGCGGCGCCGCCCAAGCCCAAGCCCACCATCGTCCCCATCGCCGCCGGCCAGCAGGTTACCCAGACGCCCAACTACGTGCTCCGCGCGAAGCTCGGCTCCCCCGGGCAGCTCATGTACATGGCCCTCGACACCAGCAGCGACCTTTCCTGGGTCCCCTGCGCCGGCTGCTCCGGCTGCCCCTCCGCCACCCTCTTCAACCCCGCCGCCTCCTCCACCTTCTCCTCCCTCGACTGCGCCGCCCTGCAGTGCACCCAAGCGAAGGGCTTCCCGTGCAACACCGCCGCTACAGGATCGCCGCCGAGCTGCGCCTTCAACCAGTCCTACGGCTCCGTCTCCCTCCTCGCCACGCTCTCCCACGACGCGCTGCTCCTGGCCAGCGACGCCGTGCCGGACTACGCCTTCGGCTGCGTCACCGCCGTGGCCTCCAGCAGCAGCGGCGGCACGGTGGTGCCGAAGCAGGGCCTGCTGGGGCTCGGAAGGGGCTCCATGGGTCTCATGGCACAAGCCGGGAAGCTCTACGGTGGCGTATTCTCCTACTGCTTGCCAAGCTTCAAATCCTACTACTTCTCCGGGAGCCTGCGGCTGGGACCACTCGGGCAGCCCAAGTCCATCCGCACCACGCCACTGCTGCGTAACCCGCACAGGCCGTCGCTGTACTACGTGAATCTGACCGGCGTGAGCGTGGGGAAGACGGCGGTGAAGGTGGCGCCGGAGCTGCTGGCCTTCGACCCGGCGACGGGGGCCGGCACTGTGGTGGACTCCGGCACGGTGATCACAAGGCTGGTGAGGCCCTTCTACGAGGCGGTAAGGGACGAGTTCCGGCGGCAGGTGGCGGCGCCAGAGTACTCCTCGCTGGGGGCCTACGACACTTGCTTCTCGACGACGGCGGTGGCGGAGGACCGGACTCCGGTGGTGACGCTGAACTTGGAGGGGATGGAGCTCGTTCTCCCGGCGGAGAACACGCTCATCCACAGCTCCTCCACGCCTCTGGCCTGCCTTGCCATGGCTGCCGCCCCGGATAACGTGAACTCCGTTCTCAACGTCATCGCCAACCTCCAGCAGCAGAACCACCGCGTCCTCATCGACACCGCCAACTCCCGCGTGGGCTTCGCTCGCGAGCTCTGCAACTGAAGGCCCCCTCCTCCCTTTCTCTCTCCTCCCCCTCTCCATCTCTTTCTCTCTCCTCCATCTCACATCTTTGCTTCTCAAGCAGAAAGCATCGTGTAGTCGAGCCAGAATGGAAGAGCACCGTCACGATGTTGGACAACCCGCTGAACCCGACCAAAGCACCTGATTAATTCAGGCACGTATGACCAAATGTAGTAATAGTAGCAGTAGTTGATCGAATTTGAGCGGATATCGGATATTATTATGTAATAAGGATTGTTAGATCGCAGGATTATGCGACAATTAATAAAATATCATTGGATTAATAAGAATAATTATGTAATAAGAATCCTTAGATCTCAAGATTATGAGACAATTAATAAAATATCATTGGATTAATAAGAATAGTTATGTAATAAGAATCCTTAGATCTCAGGATTATGAGACAATTAATAAAATATCATTGGATTAATAAGAATAGTTATGTAATAAGAATCCTTAGATCTCAAGATTATGAGACAATTAATAAAATATCATAGGATTAATAAGAATAATTATGTAATAAGAATCCTTAGATCTCAAGATTATGAGCCAATTAATAAATGAATTACGTACTAAGGATCTTAGGTTTATGTAATAGTTAATGAGGACTATTCATAATAATCCCTGATTAGGAATAAGCTTGGCTAGAAGAAGTCGCACGACGTTGTTTGACCAAAAGAATTAAATGGTGAGAACCCAGCCCCGACTATGGGTCTCGACTGAGTCGTTTGATTGAAAACTAAGTTAGCCTCAGTTGATTGTATGCCTGGATCAGCTGAAATCTGAAGCCGAGTGGTAGTCAACCGAGTTGATCATGACCGGTCATCGAACCAGAGCACGAAGCTCAGGCCTAGCGCGTATTCCCAGTCCACACACAAACCGAAGAGAGATAAAGATGAGAGAGAGAGAGAGAGAGAGAGAGAGAGTTTCGTGTATATATCTATCCAAACGAGGGTGTTCATGCTTTTCCGACTAGATTTTGCGGGCCTGGTTCAGAAAAGCTCAACCTGCCGGCGTAGATTCCGGGTTTACTCATTACAGCAAGAGAGTAGAGGAACAGGATCTCCCTCTCTAACCATCCACGAAAGAGAGAGAGAGAGAGTCTCTTTGTCTCGGCTGGGGAGCCCAGTATCACGTGAATGGGCTTATCGTCACGGGCGAGGGGTTCGGCTGGTCGACGCCCCTTGACAAGATGTCACGTCCTGATTGACAGAGCGCAGAGAACGGAATGCCTACTGCACTCCCGATTTGGAGTTATGCCAGAATGCCAGTGCACTACGACAGCCTTCGTCTGCTTCCTCTCTCTATCTACTTTGCCTCGCCATGCTCCGAAAAAATTCGCCTTCCCTCTCTCTCTCTCTCTCTCTCTCTCTCTCTCTCTCTACTTCGCCTCGCCATGCACCACGAGCGTTCGTCTTCTCTCTCTCTCCGCCGTTTCTCTCTCCACTATCTATCTAGGTCCCCATCTACCCATCTATCAAAATCTCCATTGAACTCTGGCTTCTCTCTCTAATCGTCAGTCTATCTAAATCTACATTTACCTCCCTCCTCTACTCCCTTCTCTCCTCTCTCTCTCTCTCCCTTCATGTGAACAACTTGATTCTAACACTTGAGAAAATTAATTAGCAACAATGGAGATTTATCCCAGAATAGATCTAAGAGAAAATATCGAATATTCCAATGCTAGTCTTAAGCCATTTGATTTTCCATTTCATGGATAGGAATGAAATTCCGCTTATAGCCTTTTTTTAAAGGGACTAAGTACCCTCACTAGTATTATTAATGGCAACTAAATGTTGAATAAATTGACCTTTTGCGTAAATGGAAAGTAATATTAAATATAGCGATTTATAATTATAATACATTAGCGAGTATGTGGACTGAAGGACAAACCTTCACTCTCTCTCTCTCTCTAGGCACTTCTCCATCAAACTAGAGAGAGAGAGAGAGAATAATAATGGGATCAGTTAAATTTTTTTAATAAATTTAGATCTTGAACGAATAAATCACACCAAAAGACTAAAAACTAGTTGCAAAAAAGGGTTATCAATCATTCAAGCAGGGAACTAAGCATAAAATAAACAGTTGTTTTTTCACTATTTTTATTAAAGCCCCAAGTATCATAACGAGTCAATAATAACCTAATCTACACTTTACCAAAAAAAAGTCAGGGAATCATGGGCTTTTGTTCTAGCGTTGACTTGCTATTCGACGTTGTTTAGCATTAAATCGTAAATGGAGTATCAAGACGAGCATGTTTGACTCCCCACCACCCAAATTTTCTCGTAAAAGGATTTTCAAAGATAGTTTTAGAAAAAGGAGAATATCATCATATATTCAGGATTTTTCTAGATATGGAAACATAGAAAACACCTTAAATCGGGGAGGGGGGGGGGAGGTTATTATGTTCAGCATCATAAACCAAGGTTCTTTGGTTATAGTACCTTAGAAAACACCTAAATCAGAGAAAAGACGGTCATTTTTGACGAATTTATAAAGGGGAAAATTAGCATGGGTTTTCCTCTATAATACCTTGAATTTATAAAGGGTAATTTTGTGCCAATGTTGCTCGTCGATCAAGAGCTTTTTAGTTATAATACCTTGGAAAACACACCAATTCAGAAAAAACAAAAAGGACATTTCGCTGAATTTACAAAAAATGCCCATTTAGACATGAATACTTTACTCCGATGATGATTAACTGTAGATTAATCAACTAGAAAATGATTAACTGTAGATTAACTGTAGATTAATTGTAGAATACTTTAATCAACTAGAAAATGATCCTGTTTTACCGGGATGCTATATCTTATTATGGCAAGATACTTCACCACCTAACGTACGATCAATCCACTCATACTGAAAACAGAAAAAGAAAAACAAAATTACTGAAGACAGCACTAAGAAACCCAGACCACACAGAGCTTATTACAGATCAATCTAAGCAAACAAGGTTAAACGGTACATGATTATTGGAATTACTCTCACGGCGTACAAGACAAACTGATACTGATCCAAGTTTCTTGGAAGTCGTAAGAAAATATGCCATAATGGGATCTGGCTTACTGGAAAGATGATTACCTCAGACAGATGAACAAAAGAATTTCCATGAAAGCTCGAAGAGGGAAGATTTATTGGTCCTCCAGAAGAAGATATAAACATGCAGCAAGACGGTAGGATTGGGGAAGGAGTCAAGCCTTCTGGGTTCCCTTGATCACAACAACTGGGCACTGGACGTGGTTGACGCAGTAGTTGCTGACGCTTCCCAGAAACATCCTGCAGTTCAAGCCAGTAGTTCTTTCATGTGTGCGACTGAGAAGAAAATAAGATGGATTCTTTCCTTTTATGAATCAATCCTCATTCAAGTATGGGTAGAAAAGATCACAAAAATAAAAACTAAAAGGTATTATACGAAATCTTATCTTTTCATGGATCAATCCTCGTGGAAATGAAAAGAATTGGCAGCAATGATCCAGGCGGATATAAAAAACTAAACGAAATAAAAAAGGAAAATCTATCACGAATGACTGGTAACAAGCTAAGATAGATTCTTTCTTTACATGAAACAACTCTCGTAGAAGGAAAATAATCTGGAAGCATTTATATAGACTAACAAAAACAAAAACTTAAAAAACTCTTCGAATTAATTAATACCAACCCCACCACCTAGAAAGTATGGCACACGAGATGGGCCAAGCTCACCTTATCTGCTAAGGTTCCTAAAAGTAGTTAACGATACGGATTATTCAATTTGGCAGATCTGATTGGGACAAGGACAGACAAGGAACTGTCCCTGCGATCCCATTCCATGGGCTGCACCTCTGACTTCTTGATACCTTTAGTCTTGTTTTGTCCTGCTCCTGTCGCTTTTATTTTCCCCTATTTAGTCATCCCACTCCTGTTTCTCTCTTTCTCATCTTACCTTTGCTCTTTTAAAATAGCTCTCATCATTTAACTCTTTTCTTTCACTGTCGCCTTTTAGTCCCTTGTTAAGGCTCCATCAACTCCCCGAAAAGGATGAAATTAATATTGAAATGTGGATCAGTAAAATATCACGCTCAAGATTTCTTGGATCAACGATATTAAAAAGCGTAAAATTGGCCGTCAAGTCTACCATCAGCTATAGTACTTGCCAATCCTAATCATAAATTATCAATCTGTAAATGCTGACACCAGAAGACAAAAAATTACCGATCAAAAACTAAAATAAGGAGATAATTAATATCGAAACAATAGGAAACTATTTTCAATTGGACACTGTTTGATTATATAGCTATTACAAGGATAAACCAGGTAAGCATAGAGTATTAGCTAGGAAGCAGGAAAATGGTAACCTGGGAGGAACGAATTTAAATAGGGAAACTGCTGACTATGTTAAAGTTTCTCGTTGAATAAATGTTCGGGGGCAGAATTAAAGCATGCTGAGAGCAAGATATGAGACCAATATTTTGGGATCCAGCTTTTGAGGGCATTATTAATCAACACAACAGAGTTGTACTGATGAAGCACAGTACGAGATCCTAGAAGTACAAGAGTTATTAAACCGAATATAAGGGTCCAAATATTCCAGGACTGCTTACATACGGTACATTGTGGAGCCACATGATGTTAATAGCGGTAATAACACAGAAAAACTCACATATTTAGAGGGCATAGCTCAAGCTTCATATGGACTAGGTTTACACACAACCTGCCCAAATTATCCTATGAAACTCAATCCGACCCGAAAATTTATGGATTAGAGTGGTGGGTAGGTATAATTTATTTTCAATTGTATTATGGATTAGGAAAATGGGTAATAGAAGAAGGTAAGGCAGCACCAGCCAAATTTAACTATAGCTCCAATCAGAGCGAATTGAACAGTAAAATTTGAAGTTCTATCCACCCAAGGAACCTCCAATAAGTTCTACCACGTTCAAAAGGTTGCTTAGTATATCATAAAAGGAAAGTAGCATGTGCGACTAGGAGGATGGGCATTGAGAGAGAGAGCGAGCTCCTTGCAGCTTTTCGGTTCACATATTTCACCACATAATACTCCATTGTTTGGCTCAACTAGTTGAATTCACCCATATTTGTATTTCTGTCAAAAAGGTCAATAAATTTTCGGACACTGTGACCCACAGATATGCCCCCAAAAAAGCATGGACGGAAGTCAATCACGACAGAGGTACCCCAGGGGAGCAAATGTGGCTAAAGCAGATGTCTGGTAGTGGAAGCATTGAAGTTGATTTGGAGGGTACACAGGTTAATATATTGTTCGCTTATTAACTCTCAGATCAGATCTGACAGCCTCTTCATAAACGGTGCTGCAACTAGGCCTGTGGAGAAGATCATGGCATTATATTATTCACACTAACTACGCGCCAGTGATGCAATTACTGTAAATTCACACTAACTAGACCAAGGAAGCAGCCAAAATCATTTAGATCAAACCAAGAACAGAAATAGACTTTTTTTTTTCATCGCGATTTTAAACCCTGACAGACATCAAAGTTAAAACATGCACTGCACATTTTCAAATACAATTTTTTTGTTGATGGCTCTCTGATCATTCCTATCTTGGCCACTAAGTCAATGTATCAAATAATTTCATGCCCATTACATGCAAGCCCACAAGGAGCTTGAGTGCCTTGTGGTGAACTCAAATTTCAACCGCGAGGATAAATAAATAAATAAATGGCATCCATCTACAACTAATAAAGCATTACTTACAAATAATTAACATGTTATAATACCAGAGCAGAACAATAAACATGAGATAAATGGAAGGATTGAAGAAATAAGTAAAGAAATGACAGGTATTCTCAAGAATCCAGGCCATGATCTAAAATAACTTGCTTATGTCATTGAATCACATTGTTGCCATAGATCTACCGAATAAACACGAATATCAAATCAAAAGATACTGCGTCAGAACACGAGCGAAACCCGACGACACAATTAGCTGACCTTTTAATTGGTCCGAATGCTCGACATCCCATTACGAGGAGATCGGCATGTAGATTAGCGGTAACTTCGCAGATAAGCTCCTTGGGATCACCCACTACTACTTGAGACTTCGCGTTAACCTTCGAATTTTCAAGGCAAGTTCCGATCAGTTTTCTGGGCATACAGTAAATGTAGAATTCTGGAGAACAAGAACTGAAATGTACAGTCCACAGCATCTCAGCATCTCACATGCTTCTCGGCGCATATCTCCCTGGCGTGGGCTATAATGGCCTCGCTGATCCGCCGCTGGTGCGCCTCTATCGCAGCCGTGAAGGCAGGCACCTCCACATGACCTTCAGGAATGAGATAAATAAAAAATTAAAAAAAACAGAGAAACAACAGAGGAGGGACAAGTATGCAACGAGATCGATCACGCATACATACTGGGACCACCGAACGGGATACCCCCGGGACTGAGGCCGGCAGCGATGGACGGCGGCGACTGGACGTGGAGGATGTGCAAGACCCCGGGCACCTCATCCTTTCCCCCTTCCCCCGGAGAATCGAAGCGGAGGTTGTTAATGGCCCACCTGAGTGCGTTCATGCTTTCCTCACTGCCGTCCACCGATACTACCACGCGGCGGAGATTCCCGACGGCGGGGGCCGTTTCGGCTGAGGATGCGTCCGCCATGGATGGAGCTCGGGAAGAAGATCGGGGAAGCTAATGGCGGGTGATCGGACAATCCCTCGATCCCCACTTCCTCAACCAAAAACCAGTGTTTCACATGAACGGAAACCGGTCACTCCGTTAAAAATATCGTTTTTAATCTAAACGTTGACTGGCCCTCCCAGGTTTGACTCAGGCCCATCAGCTCAAAGAAAAGCCCGAAAAATCAGCCCCGATCCATGAAAGTTAGTGGGTCAAAATTGGGATAATTCTCATGGGCCTCGGACCAACGATGCCCCTCTGTCTAATCTGTCGGGCCGGCCCCAAATTATAGGGTCCATTGACGAATCGGGCCGGACCGGGTCAAAAATCCCGGGCTTCCAGATGATCTGCAGTCACTGAGCTGACCGCCAGCTCCAACGCCATTTAGTTGACCCCCACCCAAAATTCTCTCTCTATCTCCTTCCCTCCCTCCCCCTCTCTCTCTCTCTTCCTCCTTCTCTTCCTGCCTCTCTCTCTCTCTTCCTCCTTCTCTTCCTGCCTCTCTCTTATTCCCTATCTCTCTTTTACTCCCTCTCTCTCTTTATCTCTGTCTATGCGGCGGTGGCTGTGGATTAGATGAAGAAGACAGGAAGGAGAATTTGGTCCAGACCAAGTTGTCTTGTTCTTACTCTCTGGCAACAGAAAAGCCCGAAAGTGGATATTAGGCCCGGCCCACCCCTCCATAGCATCAAAGCTAGACAGAGAGAGAGAGAGAGAGAGAGAGAGAGAGAGAGATTTATTTATTTCAAATTCTTATTAATATAAAAATGGTCTCTATTCGTAATTATAAACATAATATCTGATTTCAGGTATGAAATTGCTCTACCAACAACCAATTATTTTAAGTTTTGTGTAGAATAGTAATTATAATATGTCATCAAGATTTTTTTTATTCATACCATTAATTCCAAGTGAGTTTTACCATAGAGTATAAAAAAATCCGATATTTATTTAATTATATATTTTAAATAAATAATTTTCATTTTCTTGCAGTAATTTTAATTTTTTAACTCATTATATGTTATCATTTATGTAGATGCTTCATATAAACACCATAAAAAGAAAACCCCAGCATCTATTACATGCAATAAAAATTCCACGATTTGAGGTTAAATTTAAGATTTTACCCTTCTTGGTATTAAAAATTAGAATCCACCCTACTCGTGCAACATATTTTTTGTTTGAAATAACCTATGTATTTTATTATATGATCAAAACACCTATATAAAATAAATCTCGGTAATCACCAAAGGATTTTGAAAATTTTCATGGAAACGTTTGCTTTCTGGAAAAAAATATTTGACAAACAAGGTCAACTATGCAAAACGTTACAAGGGGCATTCCTTTCAGGAATGATTTCAGGGTATTTATATAATTATTATTACAACCGTATTATTCTGTTAACGATGGGTTTTTAATGAATCCTATTAAATATTGTGGCCTTCATCCCGACCGGCGGGGGGATGGGCACGTGAGGGCGGGGAGGGGGGCAGGGGGCCGGGGGACCCGCCGGCGAGCATCACTGCGGCGGCTTTAAAGACGCCGCCTTTTGGATTCCCGGCCGGCGGGAAGGGCGGCGGTGGCGGCGCATCGTGTGGCGGCGGCGCCACTTGGTTGGCGGGCAGGTGGAGGGCCCACCACCGACGCCGGATTTCACCGCGGCTGCCCCGTCCTCCGGATACCTACTGCACCACTTCGTCAGAATCTGAGGCCGCCGGCGGGGGACCGTGCTGTCCTCATCCCGACTCATGCCTCTTCCTCTCTCTCTCTCTCTCTCTCTCTCTCTCTCTCCCTCCTTCCCTCTCTTCGTCTGAATGGGCTCCGAACAAAGAACTGGTTGAAGCTCGGAGGCGTCTGTATATGGCTCTCTCTCTCTCTCTCTCCCCTTCTCCTTCCTTCTCAGGGCTCCGAACCGGGGACTAGCCGCCCTCTCTCTCTCTATCTCCTTCCCCCTCTTCGTCTGAATGGGCTCCGAACCAAGGACTAGTGAAGCTCGCAGGCTTCTGTATCTGGGTCTCTCTCTCTCTCTCTCTCTCTCTCTCTCTCTCTCAATCACTCAAGCCTCTGTGTGCACCGAACAAGAGGGGAACACAGGAATCAGTCTTCCAGGTTGGAAGCGAGAGAGAGGATGGGGGCCCAGAACCTGGGGGTAGATGTGGACCAGGCGGGACCATCTTTCTACCCGGAGCATGACTTTGAGGCCCAATTATGAAAATAAATTCCGAACAAGTTTTCTTATGATCATTATTTTATTTCAATAATAACCCGTGTACGATCTCCGGTACAGTTAATTGATATTATTTCTAGCGTATTTCATGCGGTTCTCTTGGCAGCATGCGAGCCAAGTCGTGGTACGTGGGATTCGACATGGGAAATGGCCCGAGTCGGGTAATCGCCCACGAATCTGTGGTTTATCTACCTATCTCTCTCTCTCTATGTATATATATATGTAATATGTATATCTCTCAGATGAGTTAGAAGTCTGTTTCTCTCTCTAGGATACTTACTGGAGTGGGATATCTGGAACTGGGCTTTTCGCTTCGCTGTAATCATTCAATCCTGTGTGCAACTCTGATTATGTCACGATCTTCCGGTAGATAGAGTGTGCCCCATCTGTCAGACATTCCCTCGAACACCTTTCCCTCGTGAAATAAAAAAAATTAATTCCTCTTTGACATTTTGGCCAACGCTCGCCGTAATTAAATAATAAAGCTTTTTTATTTCTTAAATATTTCTCGTCTGTCCTCTCTCTCTCGGTTCGGACCCTTGCCGCCTGTTAAAACCACGGAAAATCAGAGAGATAGATAGATCCAGCGCAACCGTTAAGATCACCGCCCCAGCCCCACCATCTCTCTCTCTCTCTCTAGGTTCGGACCCTTACCTCCTGTTAAAACCACAGAAAGTCAGAGAGAGAGAGATAGATCCAGCGCAACCGATAAGACCACCACTCCTCTCTCTCTCTCTAGAGAAGGTCTTCTCTCTCACCCTTATCTGCTCTCAACCATTCGACAGGGACCCAGGGACGTCTTTATCCGTGCAGGAGCTGCTGCCTTTCTTCCGTCTTCCAGGTACTCTCTCTCTCTCTCCCCCCATTCACACAGAGAGCTATCTCCTGGGTCTGCACGCCGTTTAGCCATTAAGGTTCAGATCTTGACTGCTAAGCTCCTAATGAACTCCGGAAATGGGTACCGGAGATGGAGAAGGAGACGATGACTGGGAAACGGGAGTTTCAACAAGCCAAGGGGAAGGGAATTACAGCCTGAGGAGATTCCCCCGCCGGAGACGAGGGGGAAGGAAGAATGTGAGCGCGGCGGTGCCGGCCACCTCAGTAGGGCGGCGAACGCGCCGCCGGCGCCCAGATGACGTCCGATGGCAGGTGGGAGCTGAAGATGGACAGGCCGCAGGGCTCTGGTACGTGGTTGTTCTGAGCTGCCGGCGGCGAGGAGGGAGGCAGCGGCGAGGAGCTCCGCTGTGGTTGTTGCCGTTGAAGATGGTGGCGCTGCGGGGTGAACGCCGGCGAAGGCTCGCCGTTGACGGAGACGGAGACGGAGACGGAGACGTCGTCCTCCGCCGGTAGGCGGTGGTATGAGGGGCTGGAGAATGTGGCGGCGAGGATCGTCACGGTGGCCGCGGCCCTCAGCGGGCCAGCCACCAGACCGCCGAAGATCTGGCCGTGGGGGCCGGCCAGCGTGACGGAGAACCCGGCGGCGCCGCCGCCGGCCGGCAGAACGGAGCCCGTCGAGGGGGGGAAGAAGGTGGCGGAGACGGAGAGGATCTCGAACGCCCCGCGGAAACTCAGGCCGGCGGGCGGCGACGGCGCCGCCGCCCCCGGAGGCGATGCGGCAGAGCTGTGGAGGACCACGTCGGAGACGACGCCCCTCCCGGCCATTACAGAGAGCCCGAGGCGGCGCCGCCGGGAGAAGCGGGAGAGGCTCTCGACGACGTCCTCGCCGGCCGCGATCTCCAGCACGTAGGGATGCATCGCCGCCGGCGAGGACGGGTCGTCGGCTTCTCTTGTCACCACCACCGGTGGCTTCGGCTTGTTCTTCGACCCCGGCGGTCGCCCACGTGGCCGCCGGGGGACCTCCACCGTCGACCCGTCTCCTCCTCCGCCGGCGACCGGCGGCGCCGCTGGGCCGGCGGAGGATTTCCTGCGCTTGTTCATCAGAGCTCGCTCCTCCGAGCCTTTGCTGCCGCCGTCGCCGCTGCGGCTGTCAGCCTCGTCGGAGTGGCATTCCGGATTGCTGGCGAGGAGACCACCGCCGCCCTTGTCGTAGTCCGTCACCGCGCCGCCACCGCCGCCGCCGCTTCTCATCTCCACGCCACCGCCGAAGCTTTTCAAGAACATCATCCCCAGCGAACCACGAAATAATGGGAAGAAAACAGGTGCTGCGGGTGTTGCACCCTCTCTCTCTCTCTCTCCTGTCCGGGAGACGAGATTCTGTAGAGCTAAAAGATATATACGGAGAGAGAGGGCGACAGAGGGAACGAGCCAGAAAAGGGGCGGGTGGGGAGATGGCGGAGCTTTGAAAGCAAGTAAAGGTCTGAATGATTACGGACGCTGTGCAAAGGAAGAGGGAGGGGAGAGAGAGAGAGAGAGAGGCGGGGGTGTGGGGATGGCGGACCCACCTGGCCTTCAAGGGGAAGAAAGAGGGGGGCTGAAGGAGGACGAAATTTGTACAGCTAGCTCCGGTTTTGCAAGAAGACGACGGCTCTGCTCGAACAGACAAACTGTAGTGAGAGAGAGAGAGAAAGAGACGGCGATTCTCTAGGCCACAAACGACTTCCGTTAGAGAGAGAGAGAGAGAGGACCTTCGTTAGACAAAGGAGAACACCCTTCTGTTAGAGAGAGAGAGAGAGAGAGAGAGTGGCGATTCTCCTACGGCACTCGACGCCTTTCGTTATCTCACCCGCCTCCTTCCTCCTGCCCTACTTGCCTAATAGCCGCGGCAGTCGGCAGGCCGCTGTCACCGACTACGGTGAATCACGTTGGCCGCCGCCGCCGTAGATGACCCCTCGTGAGAGAGAGAGAGAGAGAGAGAGGGAGAGGGGATGGTCGAAATTCGTGGGCCGTGGAAGAGACGTGGGAACTGAAGGAAGAGATCCAAGAGCGCCGGCGGAAAACTGGTGACGTGGAGATGATGATGTTGGAAAGCTGCCATCGTTTAGGAAAGTGTGAACTTGGAGAAATGTGACGATAAGTCAACGCACATGCCCCCGTCCACGGAAGTCAAACTAACCCCGATGCTTGGCGAAATGACTCCGGTGTCTTCTACCAGGCCCTTTGGAATCCCGGCCCTGGCCCATCTCAGGGAAATAGAGAGAGAGAGAGAGAGAGAGAGAGAGAGGGAGAGGATAGACTACGTTTTTCTTTCATAAACCAGTGAACTTTCCAAAATTTCCAAATCGTCGTCGCAATTCGTAATGCCTTTGGACTGATGTAAAATTGCCTCTTTTTTTCTCTTATTTTTTTTATTTTCCTCCCACGACTTGGTAGACAGAAATTGCTCATAAAAATGGGGATATCAGACCTTCCTTCGGACGATTAGTTCCTAAAGGGGGCCGTAATCAGAAATCATCCCTCAGAGATGAGATCTAACGGGCACATGCATACCTAATTAAGAAAGCTTCATGAAATTATTTTTATAAGATAACGGAGATCATCCTGGCCCCCTGTCGTGAGCCAGAAGGGACCCTTCCTTGTTTCTAAACTTACATCCTGGAAGCACCCACCTGCATTGAACTCCTACTGTGTTTAATCGCTGTGAAAGATCCGAGCGTTCACCTAGAAAGAACCCAGCTTGAGAGATACGTCGAAGCTGTTTCCGTCACACTCCAGAGGGCCTCCTCCTGAGGATCCGACGGCGGCGGCGAACGGCCCACAAGGCGGTGACGGCGGCCGCGGGCCGCCTTCCTGTGGGGCGTCCCCAAAAGTCAAAGCCCGGGCCCTTTCATCGCCCTTTATCGTCATCATCTCCGCCACCTGCACCAATCAGAGAGCAGGTGAAGGGAGGCTTGAGGCGGCAAGGGAGAAGAGGAGGAGAGCCCTTTACTTGCTGCTTTAGCAGTTCATTCTGCTCCACCAGCCGGTCGCCCTGTGGATGTAAACGGATCATCAGCAGAAAAATTTTACGTTCTTTGCTGTTCTACGTTCAGGTGACTCCGTCATTGGGCTTTCTAGATTGTTTTCTTGAACAGTGATCAGTAATTTACATCAAGTCTAAAGTGAGAAAGATTATAATTATAATGAATGGTGATAGTTATTTACACGTATCTATCACATATGCATGGCGATGAATATTCTTGCGAAGCAGGAGATGGACGAAAGAGTTGAGTTCCAGACCTTCTGCTGGAGCTGCCTGATCTCTTCCATAATTTTCTCACCCTAAAAATGCAGCGGGGAAGGGTTCAGTCGGGCGTGATTGGAGCAAAATCGTTTGGATCATTCTGGGGGGATCAGTCGGGTCTGTACCTTTCGTTCTATCACACGCCGGAGTGCTGCCTCGAGTATTCCTTCTATCTGCACCAGGTTACTTGATGCTAGTCCTTGCAGACCCTCTCCTCTCAGCTGCCTGCAGTTTGTGGTGGTTCACTTTGTGTAACTTAAGTTCGCAAGGCTAGTAGAGAGCGAGGGAGAGAGAGAGAGAGAGGCAAACCTCAGGAGCTTTTTGTTATCAGCGATCTCCTTCCTTAGTCTTGCACTGCTGACGCCCTCTGTCTGTAAGAAGAGAACAGATGATTGGTCATGGTTTTGGTGACTGGGGCTGGAATCCACCAGAGAGAGAAAATAAACTGTGATAGTTCTTTAGCGATTGCAAATATATTTATCAATAGACAAGTGAATTTATGAAGAAAATTGGTGGTTTGTCAATGGAATCAGAAGGGTGAACTATCATGAAATATGCAGCGATGGTTTGAGACTGAGGCGCATGGCTATCTGAATATATAGACATCATGAAAATAGAAAAAAAAAACTCGAGATTTTCACTGCAACATACTTCCGATTGGAAGGCAAATATCTGATGAATTCTCAAAATGAAACAAAAGTCGGACTTCAAGCACCGTCCCGTTCTAGAGCTTTTCCATTGGGAGACACATCTTTCTGAGATTATATCCACTGGCCACAAAATGGTCTCTTTCTCCATACGTTCCGATTCGCACGAATTTCTACCCCATATCTAGATCTATTCTAATCATTTCACAGTAAGTGTCGCGAAGGAACTTTGGTGTACTTAAAATAGCAAGTGCCCATATTTTTTCCACCATAGAGCATTGTTAGTCACTAACAGCATTGAGACTTGGAAACTTTTCCGTTTGCATAACTCCCAACTTCATTACCAACTATAGTCCTTGGACCTTAGCTATTGATACCAGGATCTAAGCTACTGAAATATCGCATGATCAATGAGGATCATAATGTCTTACCGAGTCAGGAGCTGGCTGAGAATGTTTCCTCGCATTCTTTGGATGCCAAATATATTTTCCAAAAATCTCCATCATGTTACTAGAAAGGGAAAAGTATAATATAAGCATTAGTTTGAGGAAAAAAATTACAGCCTTATCCATCACAGTATAAGCAACCATAATCTAGGCTTGTTCTTTTATCTATATAGTTAACTTTGATTCTAATTACGAAAAAATTAGTCTGCATGGAGTGCAAAAGCGGGCACGAGCACAGCCTTATTTCATCAAAAATTTCCATCCATGTTTTCCAAGAATAAAGAACAATACTATTCAACATTGACTCCCTCTTGGCTTTGAGTTGGGCAATCTAATTTCCTGAAAGAAGTGATGCTGATGACCCCTTTTCTAATCATGATTTGTTTGAATGATAGGTTTTTCACAAGTGAAGTAGCCAGTTTAAAGGTGTATTCTTGTGTGGTTGTTGGTAAAGAAATGCTGTTGTTGTTACTGCTGGTGCTGTTACAGTTAGTAGGTTTACAGGCGAAGGATGTCTCGTGAAACATAATTTGGTCAGAACCAACATGCGTCACAGAATAAATTAAAATAGCGTGGAAAATGAGTATAATGATCTGAGAAAGAAGAGTGTTTCTTTTGAGATCTTCAAAAATTAAATTGAACTTCGGAAAACGTATGATAATCCAATCCTGCCAGGATTGGTTTTTAAAAAAAAATGTACGCCTTCTTTCCTGATTGGGAATTATGTTAAGATTCTCTATTTTAGAATCATGCAAATAATTTAATTTTTCGAGTTTTGGGTTTTAAGATATAACTAATTATTTTTGCAAAATTCATACCTTCGAAATAAGTTCAAAGGCTCTCCACTGACCTTGATTTTATCTCACTCCAAGTCTCTTCAATTCAGAACTTGTTTTAAAGGGTTTGGAGTATGGAAATCCACTTTGGTTGTGAAGCTTTAACCATTTGATACCGATGTATCATACAAAAATTAATCCTCAGCTTTACTCAATTGTGAACATCAGCTATCCATTTATTATTGTAACTTTTAGAACTTTTAAAATTGATATGAACCAAAATGAGAGTCACCAGTCAGCCTATGAAGTCTAAAGACTATTTGTACTTGAGGCTATAAATCTTGAAATTTATGAAAGATCTATTACATGAGATTTTAAGCTCATGTTACCCAACTTTGTGAAGCTCATCGTCAAATATGTTTCATGACAAAGTATGAAAAATCTTGAAACTATGTAACCCAACTATGTGGAGGCTTAATCCTTTGGTATTGTTCCATTTTTGTTGTGGTTTGAAGCCTTAATCTATAAAGGAAAAACAGGGTTTCATTCAGGTTAGTACCTATGGCCTAATGCGTGGATCATTTAGTGCAAGTTTGATGCTTCTAATCATTGACCAGGAATAGTCATACAGATTCAAATACTATTTTACTTTCTCTTTTATGTTATTTCCCAGGTATATTTACGCTTTTAATTTTCGTGCCTTTAATGTATTTCAAGTTTCTTGAAAAAATTACTGTTCCCGGTTACTCTGGGTGGACCTTACGTTAATGTTAACTCCTCCAGCATGTTAAAGTGCGGAATGTGAATAGAGTAGTTTGAAAATAAACGTATCTAAAAGTAGATTATCATTGAGTAATTATAATCGACTGAATGAAGGAGGACTTTCAGGACTGGGCAAAATATATAACGCCACAACAAAGAGATGCAAATAAGCCAAGAGACCAAACGAGACTCTCATTTAGAGCATATAACAATAGATAATCCGTTTCCACAAAAAAATATGAAATCAAGATTCAATTGATATGCCAGGTTCCCTTGAAGATTTCCTCTAAAATCACTCAACAATCTACCTGTAAATCTCTCAGCCGTCATCAAAAGCAAGATACATGAGATCTCACTAGAGTTTCTAAGCTACTATTTATTTTTATTTTAAAGAAAATATTCTGTGAAATCTCATCAAAGTAGATTTATGGCCCTTAAATGACCTATATCGTGAGCCATAGCAGAAGAAAAAAAATATATGATTAGTGGCATCTAAACTTTTGATGTATGGAATGTGCATGATTCCTAAGGTGTCGATAGCCTACCATACTAGTTTGAGAAAAACAACTGGTTGAATATCACTTGTTAGTTTCTCATATTGCAGCTTTCTGAGTTGAACAAATGGTTTAAGAGTTAGCATGCCACCTTCGGGATTTTCTTGATATTTTTTTTCCTATATTTAATGATGTCCAATGGGAATCAAAGAGTAAAATTATCAAAATCCTGTGCATGAGAAAGAAGTAAAAAATGAAAAGATGCATCATCACAGCATGAAAGGGTAATTATGATTCTTCATCAATCTCATCTAAAGAAGAAATTAAGATGAAAGTAGACTCATTGGCATACAAAGATGGGGTTCACTATCTAGATTCCCTATGTTACTATGAAGATGAATTTAATGATTTTTTTATAATTAAAAAAATGAAAATTTAAATATATTTTCATATTTGGATTAAAAGTTTTAAATTATAAGTGCATTGTATTTTCATGATTTTTGGATGGTGGACCAAGGTTATATGTTTGTCAAACAAAAAAGTAAACTGATGGTGGTCCCTTTTTAAACTATTGCATCTTTTTATTAATGAGTTTACAAACGAAAGAAATAACTATTGTTTTGACTTTACACTGATTCAAAGTGAATATCTATGTGATTTCCTTCTTTTAGTGGAGTTCGTGCGATCTAAAGAAAGTTCCAATATATATTAAAGTTTGACATTAATTTTGCCTTGTCTTTCTGCACTAGTTAATGGCATCAAATAAAAACATGTTCACAATCCTTATGAAAGATTTGTGGCTTTGATTGCTGACATGAAGAAATATGGACCAAGAAAAAAATGAAATGACCTTACATAGTTTAAGCTACTTTTAAAATTTTGGCATAATTTAAAATCCTTACCCTGAAAGGACTTTTACAATAGTTAGCCATTAAGGTGACACTATTTTCTTAGATTCTCACTTTTGTTGATGTTGATATATTTTTTCTTACAGAAAATGCATGGCCATTTATTTCTACAGTGATCATTGATATTGTTGTGTTCCAAGTGGAGACATATTTTCATACTTTTATGATGAAAGGAATTGAACTTTCTGATATAAGATTCAAATTTAAAAGAAGATGCTATCATTTCATAACAGGATGATGAAAAATAAAATAAAATTAAAGTTAAATATAATATATATATATATATATTAAATTTTCACTAAGAAAATGATATCTTACCATTGTATCTGATAAAATCTAGGAAGAACAAATCCTAGAGAAACTACAACTACTTGATAATCTATATATTTTAAAAGATTGAATATGCATGTGGTCACTTATTTTATTCAATGGTATCATCTCATAAAATGAAGTATATCTCATCCCTTGTTTGCATTGTGGGACATATGATGAGAGCTAATTATTGAATTTCAAGCACCTGTAAAAATATGGATATAAATTTTTCTTTAATTTATCATTTAATGCCTTTTTATCCACTGATTCAAGTGCATAATTTTTATTTATTAAACTTTGATTCAATGAAAATTTTCGGTCAGAACCTTGGAAGACATAACCTGCTACTGAAAAAAACATAGTTAAATTCGCAAGGTATTTTTTGGGTGGTCCATAATTGATTGAATCAGATCAGGCTCATTAAGCATATGGAAATCTTAAATTTGACTAGTAGAGTTTTGAGAAAGCTTTTCACTTTGTGGGCCTTGCTGTTGAAAGTATATTTAAATTCCCAAGGCAGTTTTTAAGTGTGAATGTGACAGTGTATTGAAGGATAGTAGCTGTGTGGTAAAAGTGGAGTTCTTAAGGTAGACATTGTGAGTTCTAAGGAACTTGTTCACTTGATAGGGGATAAAAAGTCTTTGGTGCTTTATTGATCAATGTGTTGATGCCACACTTTTAAATTCATGTGAGGGAATACTTTTTAAATTTTTTTCCTAATATGATGGGATTAAATTACAAAATTTCTAGTATAGAAAATGGAAAAGATTAGTGTTTGAAAAATGAGTCATGTCCCTAGGAATAATGAGGAAGCCAATAAATGAACCACATAACAAAGAGAAGCTTGAGAACATTGTATATTTAAAATTATAATAAATAAGGACGAGATAATAAATAATAAAACTATTTTTTAATTTATGTAAGATATTTTTTGAAATTTAAAAATTTATATTGCTGGTGAAAAATCCAAATATGATGAGAGTTTTTAAATATAAGGTTTAAAAATATTTAACTTCTATTAATGCACAAATCTGCTCTTTTACTCTTCCCGATGTAGAGGTATCTTTTTTGTAAATCATCATTCAACACAAAGGCAACTAAAGTACATCTTCATTGGTAAATATATAAACTAATTAGTAAGGTATAATCATCTAACAAACATAAATAAACTCCTAAAATAGAATCATAAATATTTTTCTTATTTTTTACACAAATCGAACATACTAAACATTAATAATTTATTCTCATTCTTAATATCTCATTATTCCATCTAAATTTCATGTTATATCTAAGATCACATCAATATTTTTCTTAGAAAATTTAATTTCAAAATACACATTCTATTATGGTATTTGTATAAATATACTATGGATGTTGTGAATAAACTACTTTGAAAAACTGATTAACTAGTTTCAAACTGTTTGGATAATTAGATTATGATGCTTATTTATGGTGTCGAAGTCACCTTTTTTTGTAAATGTGAAACTTAATTTATAGTAAAAATTAATATCAAATATTATTTAAGAATTTCAACTTCGATATGTCTAAAACAAATAATATACGAATTACTTTTTAAAATATTATTATTTGACATTTCAATAATTGTTTACATATACTTTATTTTTTTAGATGGTGATAATTACATTTTTGTTGTGATAAGGTATCATTATAAATTACATTGGAAATTAACGCCCTGAATCTTATAGCTTATAGAATAAACTAAGCATCAAAGCCATTTCATGGTTCTCAATGGTTCAGCATTTTTCTTTCTAATATAAATAAATAAAAATATGTTTTTGTATAAGCTAGCAATAATGAAAGTATTTAGTTCCAAACTCATGTATAAAATGTATCCTAGAAGTAAAATCATTGCAGTGAATAAAACAATCACATTTGAGAAAGAAATCCGTAGGCATATCACTGGGAAAAAGTTGAATAAGAGTATATAAAATGATCTCCAACATTCTCCTAAGGGTGTATTAGGTACTTGGGATATTTTCTAACTAACTTTCAACAAGAGACATTTAAGACACTAGAATTACATACACATGTCCATCTTAGTTTTTTGGCATACCCAGGGCAAGTTACAATTTATGTCCACAAAACCTAGCCATTCTATTACCGATAAAGGGCACTAGATATTTCCTACTGTTAGATATATATCCTCTAGTTTGACCTTTCCCTTCAATGTCCTTTCCTTAGATCTATATTTAAATGTATCAGAGCTAGGTATTTATAGAATCAATGAATAAACAGCACTATAACCTGATGTTTACAAATCTAATATCCTACACAACTCAAATAAATCAAAACACTTTGTTATAGTGTGTATAAGCTTAAACCTAGTAAAGAAAGATTTTCCTTTGTGAAAAATTGCCTTTAAAATAATGTTTTGTGTAAATATAAAATCTCCATCACACTAATGCCAGAAGAGAAACTAGGCCTAAGGTTACCTTCTCTAGCTTGAAACATAATTTAGGTGAATTGTGAAGAAAGCACAATCCATCATCATTTATTATATAAAAAACAAAAAATTGCAATGAATATATATATAGATAATTAGAAATGTATAGGTAAATGAGCAGAATGAGTCCACGATTTTCTACCCAAACAATTTTCAGTGCACAATTTGTCATCATAATTGTGAATCCACAACTTTGCACTGAATTAATTTTCAATACAAAATCTTGTAGCAAAATTGAACTATTAGTTGAAGAAACTGGTCAATAATGAGTAGAGTTTAAGTAAAAATTAATTATTTTATAATGAGAAGCATAAAATCATTGTCAAGTTGGAGACACTATTTATTACACATTCAACATTTTGTTGATGAGAGAAAGGATTTATTGTGAGCATCCATCATGGGATTCAAAGTTATTGCATAAAATAATAATTTTCAGAATTAAATGAACCAATAAACATGAAAGTCCTCTTCTCTTCTTTAAACGACTGACAAAAGTTATTACAGTCGCTTTCTTATTGCTGGTCACATTTGCAGTTGGCATGTTTCCTTGGGACGAAAAATTTGTTTGGAGCTATCAATTGTGCGTGATCCGTAGTATTCAAGCTTTCAACTGACAAGATCTTATTGTTCCTAATAACCATGAAGTATTTTACACCCATGCCAGTTTGACTCAATGCTTGGATGAATGAATCGCACCAGCACGTAAATAATCTTCAATCCCATTCACAATTTAATGACAGATTATTCCAATTCCTTTTCCATGTAAGATAAGAGAATTTGATGAGGAGTAGGTGCCTGCCTTTTGGAGGGAAAAGAAACACATGTTTGATTCTATGTTGGCTGAATGTAATCTTATGCACAGAGAGAGAGAGAGAGAGAGAGAGAGAGAGAGGTCAGTTTTTCCGCGTTGGAAGACAAAATCCGGTCACTGGAAATACGATGTTGGCAAACGATGCTTGAAAACGACATCTAATCACTAAGAAATTACGATACTCGGTCCATGTAGCTCATATTGACGACTAGAGTGCTGGATAGAGAATTCTGGGTCAGGAATAAATCCGATTCCCATTCTATCTGCTTTGGATAAACTCAAAACGATGATGATAAATGATAAACTATATTGATCACGACGACTAGGTGACAAGAGTGGCCTGAGTGCGTCTTCATCGACTCGGAACTGTCAATGATTCTAGACGTCAAACTGGCCCCTGGTCTCCGGAAAACGAGTGCTATCTGGAGGCCTCTCAGTAGAACCTGCTACGGCCCAAAAACGCCGTCAGGTTTATTCCCGGGGCATCCTTTTCTGAAACAAATCCCTACGCAGTCCTGGAATTCTTTGTTTTGTGGGTGCCGTCCTTGGCTCTTCTGGTGTTCATATGTCAAGAAATCATCATAAAGAACACAAAAGAAACCGGAAGAATCTGGGGAAACATCGAGTTTGAAGATCGAAAAAAGCATGCCCTTGGCCTTTAGTCTCCTCCGGATCTCTCTTCTTCCATCTGAGACTTTGTTTTACTCTCTCTCCACGCACACAGCTCACTCTCCCTCGCCCTCTCCCTTTCCCTCATACACCTATAGTAATATTACACTCCCTTGTTCATTATCATCGTAGTTCAGCTACCAAAGTGTGATAGTTAGTATCAGCAAGAGAGACCGTCATAGCATAGAGGCAGATGAGCTAGTGTTGATGATGAGTCATCTATATGTGTGTGTGTGTGTGTGTGTGTTGGGGGGGTGTAGAGAGAGAGAAAAGGCATACGATAAACATGTCTGCATCGAGAAGCGTGGACGCAAATCAAAGGAAGGTTAGTCAAGAGAAACACGAGGGAGGAGGGAGGGCACCTGGTGCTTGAAAACTCGTAGAGCTTGTTGGTGGAGGAGAAGACGATGAGCCCGACGTCCGCATCACAGAGGACTGCCAACTCGTGCGCCTTCTTGAAAAGACCCCTTCGCCGCTTGGAGAAGGTCACTTGTCTCGCAGCGATGTTCTCTATCTTCCTTATCTTAATCTTCTCCCTCGTCATCCCGGACTCCCTTCCTCCAACACAGCGCCTGTGGATTAGAAGAGAGAATGATTGTCCCAAGAATTTATCAGGAAGGATCAGGAAAGGGGAGCGAACGAGAACAACGCACAAGAAGAGAGAATAAAATTAGGAGTCCACACTCCTCCAAGAATGACTCCGGCACATCGAGGACGGGTAGCGGGCGTTTCTGGAAGAATAACTCCACTGCCAATCCCGAACCCTAAAGTTTCCGAGAAGGAAACCAACAGGACAGGAGAGAGGGAAAAAACTTACCCTGCGAGGTCACCTCGATTCCCCTCTTTCGACTGGCCGCGGTCTTCGACTTGAAGATAGGTAACGGTTGGTTTCTCGCTTATTTCGGAGAGTGGGGATGTCGGGGTGCTTATTGCGTCCGCAGAAGCTCGGCCAATAGGGGAAGATACATATACTTTTGCTTTCCCTCCGAGTGTGTAGGATGCCTCGTCCAACCCGCCCGGCCACGGCAGTACTAGACAAGAAAGAAAATAATTCATGACGATAGGGGGACCCTAAAGAGATGACCGCCACCAAGTGACGAATCAGGTGACGTTGCTTGCCCTCACCCATTACACCCTTGGGCCATCTCCGTACGGCCAGTCTTTGTTAGATGCGCTCATCAGAGAGCCCTTGGATTGATGACCCTGCTCACGGGTTCAGTTTTTGGTCTCGCGGCGCCCACATGTTGGAGCTTTCCGAGTTAATCCTGTTTCTGATATAACAGACGGACACCCCCCCCTCTCAGTGCTTATCTTCGATGCGAGGATGAGCTGATTCCATTCCCATCAGTAATCGGTGGAAATAAACCTATTAGAAAGAAGCTGATCAGGAAGGAATGGGGCATGTTCCAAATAGGAGTACCTTCTTTGGATTATTGCCCAGAATCATAAGACCTACACTTTGATGTGCATGGAACTCCCAAGGAGGCTATTGAGTTCTGGGTGTAAGTCAGCGTCAATAGAGGTCTTTGGAATCTCGTGTTTATCTGTGTGTACAGCGTCTACCCATTGGTTTTCGAGTCTACCAATCTTCCCTGGACAGACTCTTGTCTCCAGTATAATTACATGAAAAGGATTGACCAATTTAAAATTTCTAATATCGAGTTGACTTCGCTAAAAAGTTAGGAAACCTCCCTTGGTCAATCGAAACCGGCGGGATGTGAAGATAATTACTTATGACCTCTTTTATTGTGTGCTGATTATATATCTCAATTTATAAGCATGGGAAACGTTTTAGAAGACGTTGTGGACTGATTTCTTGTAGTCAACCACATCAACTTGGGTTCACGCTTTCTTAATGGGGATAGTGAGACATACGGAAGGAGAACAGGGTTATATTGTTGACCTTTTCTTTTCAGAAAATGATTTAAGGGGCCCACATAACCCCAGCACGAATGGTGTAGACTATTATTCTCTCACGTCAGCGTTCACCAAATAGTATAAATACATTCCATTTAGGCATCTCATTGAGATTTCAACTTTCGGATAGGCTCGAGATGAGAAATATCTTCAGTGAATGTCGTCTAAGAGGAACTGACTCTTCTCGATCATGTTCCAGAAGAATCAAGGCGCATTGTCCTTTCTAAATTGGGAAATAGGATGCCATGGTTACATCTTTGGCATGTATATTTCTAGTTATTAATCTCTGAATATTCTTCATGAATATTAGGTATTAGATTACTATCTTTGAGATCAAGTTTGAGTTCAACATTGGGGAGCATTCAGAGTTAGTGTTCTGTTTAGTAGACATCAAAGTTACGCATACTGTCCAATACAAACAATATTTTGCCTTTAAATAATTAGATTTTACTTATTTTCGTCTTTTATTTAATAAGATATATGATTTATACTGATATGAGGAGTATCGTATTTACATTTTTACGCAATTTCATTTGGTCAAAACAATCCGTACACAAGGGAACTGATAAAGAAGAGGCCACAAAGAACTATCTTCTCTCGTTCTTTTCTTAATTCGCATGGTCTATCTAGTGTGCCGGTCGAGCATGACTGATAAAAATCAAAGTTGAAACCTTTCTAATAATATAAGCAATCTATCTTTTATTTGTCAGACACTACGGCGGACACAAGTGGAAAATTTCCTATTATTACTATCCTTACAGGGTCCCTCACCCCATAGGGACAGCTACGAGGAGTCACATCAGCTGCTGCTGCTGCCAGTTAATAGCCGGCCCCTCTCCCCTCCACTATCCAAAACAATCAATCGCCGATTGCGGCGCCTCAACCGTCCGATTTCCGTGGTGGGAAAGTAAAGAACTAAATGTCTCCCCTCTGCGGCAGGACGTCGCCCTCTTCATCGTCTGTAGTCGTCATCTGATGACGACGGCAGATGACGGTGAATCGGAGGCGTGGAAGAACTAAAATACATCATAAAAAATCTCACGTTGAACTGAATCAACCCACCCTCAGTCCTCCGCCGTGATCATCGGGACAGAAAACCTACCTCTTGGGTGATGGTGTTCACAAGCCTTGTCTGAACTCAGCCATGGTAGGACACAGTGTTCTCTGCGATGGAATGGATAAGAAGACCAGTAAAATATAGCTCGCATGTTTTCTACGAAGATAGAACGGGGCTGTCTCTTTGAAATCTTTGGAGAGTGGATTTCTTCCTGAATCTGGAGACGATAAGCTGGCAGCTGGATCTATCGTCCACTTTAGCAAAGCGGGGAATGGATTCGAGAGTGCTTGATGGAGATACGGGCGCGGCAATAGCCCCAAGTCAACGTCCCCGCCCACTAATTGCTCCCGATGTAAATCCCAGTTAGATAAAGCCACAGCCAAACTGGATAAGGACTACCCACAGAGAGAGAAAGAGAGAGAGAGAGAGAGAGAGAGAGAGAGGGAAAGTTTTCCCCGGGTTCCAGTCCCCAGGCATGAACAGGCTCCAGAACTCTGAACCCCAAGTCAGAGTCCTCACCGTATCATCAAAACCCCTTTCCTTCTCTCCCTATCTGTATCTCCAGCCTTCTCTCTCTCTCTCTCTCTCTCTCTCTCTATAAACAGCAGGGCAGCAGCTCAGACCGGCTTGGAATCCCCTGATCCCACATTGGCAACATGCCAGAAGTACAAGGAGCGCATCAGCTCGTGATCCTCAAACGTACAGCACCCGTTGAAGCAAAGATTCCAGATGCCCGCACAAAGGGGAAGGCTTACAGTTCCGAGCTTGTGGAGATCCAGACACGCCACGGAAGCGAGGAGGCTTAGATTGGCCCCCCTCAGGACTTATCCTGTCCGTCCGTCCAGATCTCTCCGACAACGGCAGAAATCTCGCCGCCCGTCCACTCCGACGTACAGAAACCCTACCCATTCTCTCTCTATATCTCTATCTCTGCCTTCAAAACGCGGACTATTTCCAGAGGGGGCCCACTCAAGTGGGTTTTTTAATTTCCTTTTTAGGAGGCTTCCATGTTTGTCGGGTGGGGGCGGGCGCTGTGTCCGAGAGCCGTCTCGGGAAGTCCCCTTCCATCTTTCACCCCTCATTGGTCGGGATTTCTGGGGACGGGAATAAGCATCCAAATCTGGACATAGCCTCCAAAAGAGGCAAGAGAGCCCCCTCCTCCCCACCGCGAAGACAGGGGACCTTCCCTCCCCACCCGAAGTGGGGATACCAAAGGTGTCTCTCTTTCTCTTCTTAACCCCCCGGCATCCCAATCTCTCTCCTCTCCTGTGTCACCACCGTCTTCCTCTCAGAGTCTCGGCGTCTCCCGGAGGCTCCGCCAGATTTTGCAGTTGAGTCGACATTTCTACGCGAACACGGCCGCCCATCGTCGATCTTCCCAATTGTCTTCTTTCCTTCTTCCTCAGTCTACTCTCGATCCTCCCTTTAGATTCTTAGGGTAGATTCTGAGGAGGACGTTTCTTGTTCTCGTTGTGCGGGATTAACAGGTGCTTACGGAGAGAGGAGAAGAAGAGGAAGGAGAGGGTGAGAGGGAGAGTCAGATGGCGCGGGAGAAGATAAAGATAAGGAAGATAGAGAACACAGCGGCAAGGCAGGTGACCTTCTCGAAGAGACGGCGGGGGCTATTCAAGAAGGCGCAGGAGCTGGCCATCCTGTGTGACGTCGACGTTGGACTCATCGTCTTTTCCTCCACAGGAAAGCTCTACGACTTCTCCAGCACCAGGTGCCCACAGTTCCAACCTCGTCGCCCACTTTCCCTTTTTAGATCTCTTACATATTCCATGATTATTGGTGCACGTAATTCTTCACGTCCTTCCGCCCCCATCCCTCTCTCTCTATACCTCTCGTCACCCGTGTTGTCAAATTTATCTTACACTATTCTCTCTCTCTATTTTCTCTCCTGTCTGAGGTTGTCCTTTACAGACTACATTAAACTGCAAGGACATGCGTGTGAAGAAAGCTTACATTTCTGTCCAGAATAGGTTGTTTGCCTCCGTTATTGTTGCGGATTCCGGTTGGTTTAGGTAGCTCAGGGCCATTCTTCTAGCTAGACTCCGCAGCTCTTCCTCTCCTTTCTTCCCAGATCCCTGCGCCAGTTCCTTCAGTTGCCAACGGAAGAAATAACACCTTGAATGGTTAGCAAGGATAGGCATCTGAAAGGAATGCTGCAGCCAAAGGCCTGGAGTAGTCCTCGGATTCCCTTTACAAGCTTGGACCGGTAGGTCTCCCAATAACAATCGTCTTCTCGAGACCTCACCGCAGTTTTTACGTCTTAAGGCGATACTCTCTCTCTCTCTCTCTCTCTCTCTCTCTCTCTCTCTCTCTCTCTCTCTCTCTCTCTCTCTCTCTCTCTCTCTCCCTCTCTCGCTCTATCAAGGTGACAAAGATCATGAATACCCATGGAAACCAATCTTTTCGTTCTATTTATATTTTTTTCCATCTATATGATTAATAAAAAACTGAGTTCCCCACGACCCAAAGCTCTCTTTCACTTCGAATTCCTAATCCGGAAAACTGGATTCCAAAACGTCAAATCCATGCACGATAACCCACACTGAACAATCCTCGGCTTTGAGTGAAGCTAGGTATACTCATGAGATCAAAAACTTTCTACCTATCTACCTATCTACCTATCTATCTATCCATCCATCCATCCGTCCATCCATCCATCCATCTGTGACCATCTCTATCACGCTACAAGCAACGACATTCACTGAATATCGACATCAGATATATGAATTTCTTTGGCCTCCGGCGATTGAACAAAAGATCACGAAAAGAAAACTGTTACCATCGATGTCACCATTTTGGATCAAGCCTGAACCCTCCTTTCCTATTTCCTGAACGTTATTAATCTTGGGTTTATTAATAAATGACTGCTATTGTCATCTACTATGACATCTGGGTTTTTATAATTTATCCTGTTGTTATACTCCTTTGTATACTAGGCTCTGCTATTGTCTGTTCTAAGATTACTCAGAATATTTGGCATTCTAATCGAGCATTGTTTTCCACATCTTCATACATAAATGCATGCATATAATCAGCAAGATGATAATTAGTCTGAGGTTGTTTTCAAGTGCTAGGATTTGATTATTTAATAGATTATTAAAAGGGCTGAAAGGCCGTATTCAATATATATGTCTTCTTTGGTGCTTGAGTATGAATCGATATTCTATTTGAATGCATTCTATGTCCCTTTTGTTGTCCTTTATGTGAATGTGTCTTCAATTAGATGTTCTATTAGCTTCGTTGATTCCTTTACATGATGGCAGTACTATTGATAGGTGTTGCTCGTAGCTTTATTTATTTTGCATTAATCGAATTTATTTCATGTAAATTCCGTACAAGTATTGTACATGTACTAGTTTAAGTAGACTTTGAAGAGTCATCAGGACGTCTTCATAGATTTTGAACTTGCTGGTAAGTTATCATATCATTGAAACAACACCCAAGAATGCCAATGAGGTTGCTTGTAATTTATAAGTAACATTCAAGTTCGTGATAATCATCTGAATTGCAACCAGTTGCGAAATGTTAAGTATACTGAAGAGTCAATACCTATAATTCAGAGATATTCATTTGTTAAAAAATGGAATATTCTACAACTAAAGCACCTCTAAGGTTGAACATTTATAAAAATTCTCAAGTATATTTTATCCATAAATTATTTTCTTCTTTCATCTATTGTAAAATTGTGACTATTCAAAATAAAACGAGCATGCCATTTATTGCCATATTTAAAGTTTCAAACTGTACTCTTACAAAATTGTATTTATTCAATGAAAACTAATACTGAGTGATTGAGTGAACAATTTTGAATTCAAAAAGGGTATTTTTTATATAACTTTGAGTTTATAAAATTATCTAGGCTATATGCATGATAAATATATATATATATATTTAAAATTATGGGTACATGTTAAATTTTTGAATAGTTTCATTAATGCATTACACTTTGCTTAATATTTCTCCTTCAAATATTACTAAATATTATTAACATTGGAGGTAGTATGCATACTATCTATATTTATTTTGATATTCTTTTAGGAGATTTTGATAAGATAGAATTACCAACTGAGTTTTTAATTTCAAGAAATTATTTGGAGAAATTACTTCAATGTTAGTGCAAAATGAAGTGATTTTTTTAAAAAATACCTCAAATTGTGTTAAAATGGATCTCACTCCTTTCATTGCACTTTTATGAACCTAGTGTAAGTAGTTACCACATTGGATCATTATTCGATTTATTATGCATAGGAAATGAATAACTTTTGCTCAAAATTGAGGACACCTTGTTGAAAAATAATTGACTTGTCTAATAAATCACAAGATGTCGATTATATCTCTTTGAATGGGTAAAAATCAAAGGGATTCTTTAGGTTACATGTGATTCTAAGAGTTGAAAGGAAAGATCTTATTCACCATGATCTAGAATAACCTTTTTAAGGCTGCCATGTTAGGATTGTGCTTGTGTGTGGTGAAACCTTAGTTCAATTTTATATCAATTCATTTTGTATCACAAATAGTAGTCTTGCCCATTTTGTTTACCATAAATTTGTAAAATAAAATATTTATCTCTGTCTTAAGAATCATCTCAACTACCTTTCAGCCATATCACTCACATCATAGAACCTCTGTAAAGTTTGTAATTTCAATATTTTTCATTACATTATTCCCATTCCAATTAGCCTCAAAGCTGACCCAAAAGTTTGTGGTTCCTTTTTCACATTTAATGCTAGCTCTTCTTTTTCTAAAAAAATTCATTGGGAATAGATTTTGTCATTTTTTAACTGCCATAGAATATCCTATCCACGAATATCTTATTAGAGGAGGTAAATCCAAGGACTGAAGGTCATTTTAGCACCTTATGAAATGAAATTAATAAATACCCTAAATTATGTTAAAATTAGTTTTGTGTCCTTTCATTGTACATGTATGAAGCTAGTATAGGTGGTTATAACCTTGGGTCATATTTCACATTTCTTATCCAATAGGAAATGAATATCTTTTTCTCATAACTGAGTACTTCTCATTGATAAACGAATGATTTGTCAGATTAACAATTAATTGCCAATTATATCTCTTTGAAAGTGTCAAAATCAAGGAGCCTCTCTGGGTTACTTTTGATTCTAAGAGGTGAAAGGGAAGAAAATTTTATCACATCATGTTAACATTTTAATAGGAAGACAAAAGAGCATTACTCTTATATGTGGTGAAAACTTTAGATCAACTGTATACCAATTCATTATGTATCACACATACTAGTCTTGTCCATTTTGTTTACATTAAATATGTAAAATAAAATATTTATATCAGCCTTAAGAATCATCTCAACTAGCATTCAGCCATATCACTCACATTATAAAGCCTCACTAAAGTTTATAATTTCAACCTTTTGCATTACGTTATTCCCATTTCAATTAGCCTCAAAGTTGACCCAAAAGCTTGTGGTTCCTTTTTCATATTTAATGCTAGCTCTTCTTCTTTTTGGAATTTCTTTTGGAATTGACTTTGTCATTTTTGTCTACCATGGAATACACTATCCACGAATATCTTACTAGAGAAGGTAAATCCGACTGATGATCATAGCACATTACCTCATATTCTTGTTAGAAAACACATAACGTGTGCTTGGTGTCCATGGACAAAAGCATGAAATCAAATCTTAGCGTTTGTTAATCGTGAAATCATCCATATTGAAGCTTTCAATTGTGAAAATGAGGGTTTCATGACCAGTGTTTCCACTGGTTCTTAATGTAACTAAATATAATAATGCAATATAGCTGACTTTATTGAAAATCTAACTCTCCAATCGTCAATTGCAGCATGTTTGATTGAGGAACTATTTATGTATTATTGTAAGCAAGTTCAAAAGCTGAATGGCCTTTGTAGGTTTAGTTTTCTAAATCTTCAACACTACCTCATTTGTGACACATTATTGACTAGTGAACAAAAGAATTTCTGATATACAGAGAATTTGAAAAATACGTAAAAACTTGAGACTGCATAGAAACGCCTACTGTAACAAAGTTTTAATCAAATATTAATGCTGGCCAATAAACTACCCTAGTCTTGTAGGTTACTACTAAAATTTAATTGATTCTAAAACTGTTATTAAGTATTATGTTTTGCGATTTATTCCTTATTTTTTTATCTTTTTATGTAAAGTTGCCATACTAATTTTCGAAATAAAGTCAATTAATAATTTGAAATTGAAGTATCTTATCCCTATGATTTCATGCCATCGATTTTATGTGCTTAAATATTCTTTTTGAATTAATTACAAGTCATCCCTTTCTCGTCCTAGGAACAGTTTTTGTACGAGAGAAGTAAATAATCTTACACGGATTTACATATCAAAATAAAAAAAAGATGTGAGAAGTGATTCAAAAAATGATAGAGTAGACACCATTTTTGTCAACTCTAGATTTAGTCCCTATGTAAAACTTGAGAGTTTCACTAATTAAGCATATCATGCATGTCAACTTTCAAAACAAACTACTTAAACCTATTTAGTGCTACAAGCTTTGATGGATAGAGAGATTGTTCTTACACTAAATACCACCATAAGAACTTAGTGACTACATTATTAAGCAATATATCAATGTTAAAAAATTTAATAAAATATGCTGAAAGCTTTATCATATCTTGATAAGTATCTGGGGTTCAACTTGCATTTAAGAGGATGCTTCAATCATTTCACCTTGCAGAGCTTGACTTTATTGTCTTTATAAAAATTTTATTTCTATATATAAGTTCTGCATGCAATGTGCCAATAGTAATTGGCTGACTGTTGACAAAGTTGACCAAAACAGTGATAAATAAGGTGATACCTTAGTTGAATATGATTTTCATTTTAAATTTTGTGCGGAAGACTTTGTGAATCTATATTTAGTTTGAATATTCATTTTTTCAACTCATTTCCTTATGTTGCCTAGAACTTATGCTTTGAGATTGTTGGCAATATAATGAATCATATTAAAGAGTAATCATTGTGAAAACTTATCAACAATATGTTCTAACACCAAAATCCTCAATGGATGTGGGTCGAGAGTAAAAAATATTCATCACACCTTTATGACAAAAACCTCACCATAGTGACTATTTAGTTATTCTTTGTCACCATCTCAAAGATCTCAAATGTGTATAAATATGCAATTGGGCGTCACTAATTATGGTTTTTAGTGAATAAATCTTGGAGAACTCGCTTATGTGCTTAATGCAAGTTTCTATTGATTTCATTTAACTAGAAAAAACTTTCTTTGATCAAGTTCTTTTGATCACCTTTTTCGTAAAGAAAATATTCTCTTAGAATATCTCTCAAAATGAATAGACGGTTTTTATTTTAATATCTACCGGTCGGTTTTAGTATAATAGACCTAAGATAAATATCAAAGATGAAGTTTTTCAGTGTTGAGTAACTGGCCTCCCATTCAGAGATGCTAAAGACCTATACACAATGAATCAACAATTTATGCCTCTAGAAGCTAGGAAATAGATTTTCTTGCTCTCTTCATGTCTTGTATCATAATTCCCTTTCCAACTATAGAGATAAAATTCGATCTTTATCCTTACATATTAAGCTAGCATAAGCATCAAAAGGTTTTCACAACACTTCATTTATAATTTGAAATGTGCATAAGCTGTGAACACTTCAGTATTGTTTGACGTATGAAAATCCCAAGGACCTATGCTCTAGTAAGCATGGCATTGAACGTTTTGGCCAAAAGCAGTGACAGATAAATCTGAACAAGAAGAAGTGAATTGTCTTGATTTTGAATTTTGTACTGGAATGTAAACTTGATGTATGGAGTTCATAACATTTGGTACAAAATCTTACATTATTTGTGTCTTACTCATATATATTTTTTTGAAACATTGGGCATTAATTAGGCTACCTACAATCTGTGATAAACTAACTTCCTTTCGGTGTTAATTAGACCTTTTTACAGCAGCACAAGGCTTACTCAATATAATTTTATGGATAACTGGACCTTTGATTCTTTCTCTTGTTGTCACTAGTGGTGAATCAAAATGGAAGGTCCATAAAGAATCAAAATGGATAGCTGTATCTTTAGCAAAATAAAGATTTTGCTAAAGCCAAACATTATTTTCATTACGACACCATTACATTGTAACCAAACAAAGAAGAGAGCATCTGCCTTAATTTTATGATCAAACAGCAATGGAGATATTAACCCAAATTCTACTAAATTTACCTTTCTTCATTAAAAAATAAAGGTCTATGTACGAAGACATAGTTTATCATTCTTCAACACTCATCGTCTTGACTTTGGAGCCCTATTCTATGAGGATATTAGTACTTTGGTTGAGCATGATTTTAAATACTGTGCATATTATTTATATCATAATTAATAAATTTATTTTCCTTCACTTTCACCATTTCCTACAACTTTTAGCCTGATCTTAAGGCCTAGTTCGTCTTCGGTGAATTGATTTTTTACCTACAAAGATTCACTTTGGCATTTCCAGAGGTCATATTAATAAAAAGTGCATATATGATGAAACATAGTCCATGCAATTACACAAGTCCTTCAATGTGATAAACAGTACATAAAGTTCATAAAAAAACATCAAGATGGTCTCTTTAATCATGTCAAAAATGAGAATTTAATTCCAAAGGTAGTATAGTTTGTAAGCGATTAGTCTCTTTTTCTTGCATTTTGGTGATCTTTTTATGACAAAAATGTGATACATCCAAAGAGAGTGACTTAGTAAGTACCCCACGTATCACTTTTCAGAAAACGACATCAATACTTGATGTCATCTAAGAGATTATTGCGTTTTGGGGATTTAAGAGTGGCATGTGGAGAAAAAATCTATTTTCTTGAATAACTTGATTCAAGCATATCTTAAGAAGGTTGGTTGACACGGACTACATGGTGAGACCTTATTTAGCATAGAAGAAATTTGAAGTCTGCATTTGTTTGACGGACTTGGTGTGAGCTAGTTTTTAAATGGGAATAGATCCAATCATGTAGAGCTTTGCCTACATAGGAACATACTGACTTGAATCTGAAAACCTATCAGCTTCTAAGAGTACTAAATTGACCAGTGTCATGGAAAATATCAACTTTAGATCATAAATCGTGCTAACTCCAAGTTGATAAGAAAGCTGGGTAATAACCAAGTATAAAAATGGTAAAGTTTATTAATATCCCCAACATTTTCATCATTATTTCTCAATGATTTTTTTATTTTTTAATTTATTTATAGACAGGAGGAATTATTTGTTTGATATTGTGGATTGGACTACAGAAGAAGAGTGAGCACAAGGTAGGGTCCCTCTTAGTTGAGGTGACACTACTTAGACGTACAGTTAGGTGTCAAAATCTGATACTTGACTTCCTCATCGTAGATCCTTAAATGGAGAATGGGATTGTTATTCTACAAATGGCGATACTCTTCATCTCACTCCCACGATTTGCCAGCTAAAATTTCATCAAAATAATTCTAGTAGACGACTCTCAACTACTCTACATTTAGCTTCATTTTCTGGTAATGGAACTTCACTTTGTAGTATGAATGAATGTAAGATAAATCACCCTCAGAATTGACCAGTACCCCCAGCAGGTTCTACATTTTTCAAGGTCAAAAGTTCTTATACAGTTAGGTCACTTATTCATCTGTAAATTGATAAACACCTGATTCACTAATTAGTTTAGAGCAGTTATTTCAATTTCTGTTAAATGTTTCGCCTTAGGACACCATTAAAGATTCCACATAGAAAAACACTATAAAAGATAAAGTTTCTCAGTTCCTGGACCAAACAAAGATCCAGTCATACCTTTTTTAGACCGGGTTTTTTTTTCATCTGTCTGATTTAATTTGACTGGCCAAAATATAAGTTCTCCTTTAAGAGACTCCAAGTCCTAGTTTTTCTCTTGGATTGGGATTTAACGTGGGTTCTTTCACTTGTCTGTTAAAAAAAATCCTATAAATAATCTGAAGAAGCCACTTTAATTTCCGTCAGTCTCCCCTACTGCTGCCATGTACATGTTGTGTAGTTAAACCATGCAAAATTATTTTTTTATGAATTTTATAATATCTGATTTGCCATTAGAGAAGGTTTTATCATTTAGAAATCACGCTGACTTCCCCAACCTGATTCTTAGATTTTTTTTGAACTCTTAGAACAGGAATCTATTGCATGTGATAAATGCAAAATGAATTAAGTCTCTCACATTTGAATCTTCTTGCAAAGTTTTGCACAGAATTGAGGGCTTTATTGTCATGAGTTAACAGAGTGTTCAAGTTATTAAAGAGAAATGGTCCATTATTGAATATATGCATCCACTCCTATGTTCAAGGTTCTAGTTAAAGCAGATATTTGATGAAGCAATGGAAGTGACCAACAGGTGGATACAACGTCTTTGTGCTTAGATATCTTAATCTGTCCTGTTTCATGTAACACATTACAGGGAAAAATTTCGTATAGATACTATAAAGTAGTTGTTTTATCCAATCAGTTTGTGCAAACAATTCCACCCAGTCCTTACAAGTTGTGCAACAAGTCCATGATTATATCATTTTTTCTATATTTTTTTCGTTTCTAATCAATTTATGATAATAAGATCGAAAATTATCCCCAGTAATTGTGAATATGGTGCCAGAGTATTGAAGGATAATCTATAAACCCAAGGGCTGTTAACAAATACGTTCTGCAAAGATTTAATTATGATGAAATTGGAAGATAACCATGAGTTTCTTCATTTTTTTCATACAAAATAAAATTTCAAAAGCTAAAACTGCGTAGAAATTTCAATGGTGCTTAAAACAAGTCTCTATAAGTAGTCAATTTACATTGAATGAAGCATGAAATGATAAATAAATAAAACATTCTTAGTGTGACCTTAAAAGTTTTGTGAGAAATACACTTTCCGATGGTTTTTCATTGTGGGTTCGCTGAGCAAATAGGGTATCAATAGGTAAAAATACTCTTGCTGAGAGATGCCCATAAGCTTACAATCGATGAGGACTTATCATCGTCTTCACTAACGTAGTTGAAATAGAATGGCCCTCTGAGATCTCGTTCAGCCCACGACTCAGTATATGATGCATTAAAACTAGACCTCTATATAATCAATGAGCTTGCAAGAATTACATAAAGGAGTTATTGAAATCCCTCCTCTCCCTCCTCTCGTTGGATGTAGTTTTTTGTGTTCTTCCTGCCTTCTGGTCCTTATGCCTAGTCACCTTTTCCAATATGAGGGACTCGTAATTAGTAAGTTTCACTGGAAACTAGTTAGTGTATTGATTCTCTGTAGGGAACTCTTGACAATGATTTATTATATGATCCAAATCCTGTGAGATGGAAATAATTCAGCAATTTGATCCCATTATTCAGCATTTAGTTCGGAACTAATACTGAAGTTCGTGATCAGAATAGACAAAATGTGAACAAAGAATATATTGGGCTTAGGTTTCTACCCCCTGAACCCAAAATACCACATTCCTGTTGCCCAGTTGTTGACTTTCTGGTTGGGACACGTCTATGTTGTCGAAGTCCTCAATTGTTGATTCAGAATGCATTGAACGTAACTAATTGCCAACACAGCGGGTTACATCTCCTAAACCTGCACTGTATCCCCATCCGTTGGCAGGCTCTCCATCATTGTTGAAATTAAAGTAAATTTCATTCTGTTATTATATGATGATAGTAGAATTATTTGTTATTATATGAGTATAGTAATCCTATTGATTTATTCTCAAGCTAGTGCTGATGCTATTTTATTTTTTTTCCAAAGCATGAAGGAGATCGTTGAAAAGTATAATATATGTCCAAACAATGTTCGTAAACCTGAGCAGCCATCTCTTGAGCTACAGGTAAGCTAATATGTTTCTTGCAGTAGATGTAGTTTGTCCGTGAAAAGTTTGCTGCTTACCATGAGACCACCGTAAGAAGTATTAATTCCCGAATGATAATTAGAGACATGAATCATATGGTCCACACATGAGATTGCGGTTTTTGACATGTTGCAGTAACTTCTTTAACACCATAATTTTCTCTTTCCATTTTGACTACCGCTAAATTTCTGCAAAACATGCATCAAAAATTGTGGATGACTAAAATTGAGTTGCCTCGGCCAAGACATTTTGCTAAGAATTGCTTAGATACTACGATCTCATGTGAACAGAGATGATCATAATTGACTTCGAAGCCTGGTTTTGGTTTCACTGTGTATAACTGATTACATATTGACCCTCTTACTGGAAATATATTATATTAATATTTTTGATGATCTACTTTCAGCTTGTATAATTTGTATTGCTTCATCTGTGCAGATTTGGTATTTTTTCATTTACAAACTATAACAAATGAAGCACGCAAAAAGATTTATATCAAAATTATAGTTTTCCCGGTACATAGTTTGAATCCATGGATTAAGAAAAATGTGAAAAATGCTCTAATCGTTTGTGTTATGCAAACTGCATTTTAATGCAAAGCTTTGATGAACTAGTGAATAATTTCTATTGATTCTTTCACTTTTTCCAGGAATTTTTAAATTCAATAAACATCTATGTTCAGTCGTCGTGGTAAGTCCAGATAATTACCAAACTGATTAGTTCTTCGCTCTTTATAGCTAGAGAGTGTCAAGCATGACAGTCTGGGCAAGGAAATTGCTGAAACAGGCCAGCAACTTAAGTTTGTATCTGTCCCTTACCCGTTTGATTGAGCTCAAACTCGTCTGCATGCGCAATTGTGAATGTGCTATTTCCTCTTTATAGACAACTGAAAGGAGAGGATATCCAAGATTTAACGCTGAAGGAGCTAGTGCAGCTAGAAAAGACCCTTGAAAAAGGGCTATGTCGTGTGCTTGAAAAAAAGGTATGTGGCCATGCTATTTCAACCACTTTCAAGAATGTCTCAATGAGGATGGATTTTTGTCTAAAAATTTTCATGTTCACTTACAGGGTCAGAAAATCATGGAGGAAATAAGCGGACTACAGCAGAAGGTCAGAAATTGAGCATCTCTATTTAATATTAAACGTGTTTTGCTGCAAGAATACTCAGCAACATGCAGAGGGATTACATCTTGGCTTGAATCTGAATAAGAGTCGTTTTTTTTTTGTTCTTTTGACCGTCGTAAACGCCTGACTTAGTCTTTGAATGATTGAAAGTTGAAATCGAGGAGAGATATTACGAATAAATTAATAGGTCTAACATGATCATAGGAAAGATATCATAGCAGAAAGCCCCTACAATCAATAAAGTTTTTGTTTTTTATTTCCTCTCTTGAGTTTCCCCAGATAGAAGGAAACAAACATTTCCTGTGGAGTAGGTCGAAAAAAATTATATATCAAGATTTAGTTAGGAAGTTAGATCTATTTACTTCAATTTGTATTATTTTAATAATTATCATCTCAGTGATCCATGAAAATTGACTGTTTTTAAAAGTTAGAACTTATAAGTATTGGCCTTAATCCGTAAGACTTTTATGTGTACAGTGAGTCTAAGACTCCTATGTCTCTGAAAACCACTATGAATAAGGAATGCATGAAACACCGTGGATAAAACCCTCTCTAACAAAAAAATAAAGCTTCATTTCTACTTCGATACTGATTTTTCTGTTCTTGCATGTCTAGGGTGCGAAACTAATGGAAGAGAACGCACTGCTGAAGCAGCAAGTAGAACCCTGATAATTAACTTTCGTTGTCTCCCTTTATGAAAGAAAACTTATTTTATTGTTTGATGAATGTAGGTTATGGAAATGACAAAAGGCAAGGAACAGTTGGCATTGCCAAAGTCTGTCAGCATTTTTCATGATGACAGGCAGTCTTCTGGTTCGATCACTAGTGCCTCAAACTCAGGGGACACTCAGGACTGTGATGACAGCTCTGACACTTCTCTTAAGTTAGGGTAAGCTCACATAACGACCCATTGCGAAAAATATGTTTCAGATTAGTTTTTTCTCATGCATCTTCGTACCGATGGCTAAAAACAATGTTTTGAGATTTTTTCTCATGTACATTTACATATTTTGATTATAAATCATAAATTTGATGCAAAGGAATATTCTTAAGACGTTCCTGAGCTAAGTAGAATGTTATCCCTGAACTAAGGCCTAGTTGATTCCAGACAGGAGAGCTTAATAAACATAACTTTGAGATGTATAGAATCGCATAATGCTAGGATAAAACAATAATAAAGAAAAAGATTATGATAAGAATCATCAGTTTACATAAAACGTTAAAAATCATAATGCATTGTTTGGTCTTTTATATCTGCCACAGTAGAAGAGGAACGGAAGAAAATTCATTGGCATTTAAAGTTTGCGTTCTCATGAAGATGCCACAATCCTTCTTTCTCAACCAGTTCAGCCCTCCCAGAAAAGAACATAAAATAATACTAATAGTTATGAAACTCCCGACTGTATTAATGAGTTCATTCCACATCATTTTGAGATTGTGTGAGAACCTTCATATTCTACAGGTTTTAAATATGCTACTAATTTTTCAAAATTCCATATGAAAACCTCAAAAGTATTTTTGTAAGGAATTAAATTATATTTTCTCATTTTGTATAAACAAATGCATTTACTGAGAATGGTAATGCCATCTTGAGGTACCGAACAAAGAGATCGAATCTCGTCATATAGTATCCTAGGTTAGGTACATGTGAATGCATTGTCTGAGCTGTCTCACAATATCTGCACATAATGGTGATGGCAGCTGGAATAGTTTTTGGTGTTTTGAAGCGGCAATAAGTGGGGAATACTTATGACCTTATGGAAAATACAAAGTTGCAGCTTTATGAAATGTCATTAATTGATGTTTAGTTGCCAAATAGCAGGCAACAGTCGATCATAACCCTTCATCGTTTCGGATTTCATAATGTTTGACCATTGTTGTTGTGATCTGTGTTTCAGTACAGTAGTAGTTTTGTGCGGTTGCATGCTGTTCCCTTGATTCTCTGTATCGTCAGATATGAAAAGAGAAATTAAAACAGAGCAAGAAAAAGGAAAGTGAAGAAGACTAAGTTAGAAACTCGCAGTTTCCTGTTATGCAGGAATCCAAGAAAAAACAAAAGGAAGCAGCACCCTTTCCTGCCATGGGCTCCGTTACTTCTCCGTTGAGGCATCTTTTTCTTTTGGTTCCCACAAAGAAAATGGAATGATTCCCTGTTTCTTTCTTCTCTCCCATTTTCTACACCCAAAACCAGTTGACACAGGCAAAAGTGATCTCTCATTTACGGTGATCTTTTTAGTTCCTCGCAGCAAATATGATTTGGGACTGACATGAGTCTGTCTGTCTCCTGGTTTCTCCTTCTTTGCAGGCTTCCCTTCAATTAGAAGTAAGGAACCTCTATACACTCAATGTCCAATGCTCCCTATCATGTTCGTGTTGCCTTCTTCGGAGTGGGATTTCATGTCATCGGTTCTTATGATTTATATGTGTCCTGCATGTGGAGAGGGAAACCCCCGTCTCTCCCATGCTGCTACCCTTGGTGACGCCGTCGATTCAAGAAATCGCGGTATTGAAAAACAGGAACGAAATATTCATCCATGGTGACAGGGCTTGCAGGTCTCCAGACCCCCTGAACTTCTGGGGAAACGGAATTCGTTAGGTCTTTCTTCCGTAAACAGCAATACCTGGCAGCAGTCCGCGGCAGCTGGCATCCAGCTCATGGAGGGAAGGGAAGGCAGGCGCCCACGGGAATTCACCCCATCTTGGTCGTCTACACGGCTCGGTGGAGGTCGGAAGAGGGCCCATGGCCTACTCTTGCGTAGCGTGTCAGCTTGCCCCTCTTCCTGCGTTTTACTTTCCATTCCGGTCCATCCCCTGTTCCTGATGCGATCTGGGCCGCCCTGCTCCCTCTGTTCATCTGGGCACGCAGGGGGGGGGGTCATTCAATGCTGGTCTCTTCATCGTTATCTGAAGGCAACCTTCAATCTTCGATGGCCCAGCATCCCGTTCGAGAGTAGCAAGAACTGATGGGACGCGCAGGACCTGTTCGACTCAAGGGAGCGACAGTAGGAAGGGGGGGGTTCTAACCTTAAAAGGAGGGGACTTTTTTATACAGCTTGCCCACAAGTGACATGATGGGGTGCCACAATTTAGCTAAAGAATAATTCCTCATAACCCAATATACGTTCCTATAATTTTTTTCCATTTATTCAAAATATTATTTATATATTTTGCCAAAATTATGATGTCAAAGAGAAATGAAGACTGATTCATTTGTAATATCAATTTCACAGTAGTTAATACTTTCTCAAAAAATTAAAATCATGGGTTTGGTGAGAGCTTTGACAAGAGTTGACTCCTACATGTGATCTACTTATTGTGATAAATAATGATTTTTTTACTTTAGCATTTATTATTTTATTGTCTTCAATTAATAAGAAATGGTGAGACTAGGTTAGCCTTTTTATTGATAATGGTAATATTGAAGAAGCTTATAATTTTATTTTTTATTAATACATGAAAATATTCCCTTATTTTTGTTAAGACAAGCTAAATAATAAATTTGTCCATGGTGGTGCCTTTATTTTAATTAAAAAATTAAAATAATATATGCGAGCTAATAATGTCACACATTATGATATTACTACCAAAAAGTTTGGAGAGATACTAATAGACTAATGTAATAATCTCAAAGAGGGTCAAACCAAAAGCCTAGTCACCTATTATTTCTACTATGTGGCCTCCCATTTCTTACACAAGATAGGCCTCCCCCTTTTGCCCCTTTCCTCTTCTACTATGGGGCTCACACCTAGATCAATCAGAATCTATTGCACTCCATTTTCTCCTAAATAAATAAATAAATATATATATCCCTAATTTTGGTGTATTACTTGTGCATATAGTATCAAGTGGGTTACTTATAATTTCTCATTCCTTAATATTTAAAATATAAAACTGTCAAAAATCAATAAAATTTCAAATCAAATGGATTTAAGATGGCAAAAATAACCATCAAATTATTTGGTGATGTATTGGGAGAGTGTGGCAATATGATAGTACTTATTGATAATTGTAATTAAATAATTATTTAGAAGATTAGTGAAGTTTAGATGATGCGACCTAAGTGTGGAGAAGGGGGGATAGGCTAATTATCACGATTTTATAGCTATATTAATGGCTCAAGGGGATAACCTTAATTACTATAATCACCCTAAATCAATATAGTTCTTGCATATAACCCCAAGTGGATGATTATTGTAATTTCACATTGGTCATTGCATCAAAATAGAAGATCGTAAAACCAAATTTTATATTCTAATGAGCGAAGTTTGGCTTAGTAAGAAGAGAAGACCATATTTACGACAAATTACATGTAGTTGACTAATTATTCATCTAAAACTTAACCCTTATGGCTCAATAGTATTTTTTAGGGAAATAATATAAATTGATTTAAATTAGATGTTTATGTTACTAGAAACCAATAATTCCATCATCAATTCAATATTTTTTGATAGATTTAATTATTATTAAAAATCACGTTCATATACTAAATGGTCCTATTGGTCAATAGAATTTTCTAGGGAAATGATATAAATTTAATTTAAATTACATATTTATGTTACTAGACATCAATAATTAGATCATCAATTAAAAATTATTTAATATATTTAATTATTATTCAAAATCAACTTACTAGACTAAATGATCCTACTGGTCACTAGAAATTTTTAGGGAGACAGTAGAAATTTAATTTAAGTTACATATTTATGTTACTAGACATCATTAATTAGATCATCAATTAAAAAAATAATAAAAAATATTATTAAAAATCAGCTTTACAAGTTGAAGGGTCCTATTGGTCAATAGTATATTTTTGGGAAATAATATCAAGTGAATTTAAATTATAGATTTTTGTTACCATACACTAATTATTACATCGTCAATTCAAAAAAATAAAATAAAATAATATAATATTCCATATCAACTTTGTAGATTGAAGGGTCCTATTGGTCAATAGTATTTTTAGGAAAAGACTCAATTTAATTTAAATTATATATTTATGTTACCGGACAGCAATGATTAGATCTTCAATTTTTTAAAATGTATTTAATTAATAATCGAGATCAACTTACAAACTGAAGAGCGCTGAAGTATGCTAGAGATTATGATGGGTTGAATAATAAACAATTATGAAGTAGGAATGGGAGAGTAAAAGTGGGAGAAGAAGAGAGGCGGGAGGTGAGCCGTGGGCCCAACCCCTGGTCGCCCACTTTCAAAATAAATAGTGGGTAGCGGGAGCTCGGGAGGAGCGAGGCCAGTGGAGGGGCTGCGAGGAAGAGAGCGGAAGCCGCCGGCAAGTGGCGGTGCGGTCCTCGGGGTTTTTTCTCTGCTTAGGGTTTGTGTAGAGGGGGAGATGGAGGCGGAGGAGGGGAAGACGGGGAATCCACGGTGCTTCCTGGACATCGCCATCGGCGGGGAGGTGGAAGGGAGGGTGGTTGTTGAGCTCCTCGCCAACGTGGTGCCCCGCACGGCCGAGAACTTCCGGGCTCTCTGCACCGGCGAGAAGGGCGTGGGGCCCAACACCGGGGTCCCCCTCCACTTTAAGGTTTCCTTCTTTCCATGCTGCAGTCAGTGCGAGCACACGGCTCGGATGCGCTTCTTTTTCGTCGCGTTTTTCTGTCGATGTTTTGGCTTCTTCGTTATTTCTCTTTGGTTACTCTGATTCACTGCCGCTTGCTCTTCGCCTGGTTTTACGTGATTTTTTGAACTCTGACGTCCTCTTCTTTCCATGCCCATGAGTTATTGATGCTGCATCTATAATTTCTGCGGTTTGAAGGTTTGGCATTATGGTCTTGTTTGACAGCCATCGTCTTCTCTGAACTACGCTCTTTCCATTTCGTGTCATTAGCAATGCAATCCTCGGGAGTTGTGATGAAGTTTCTTTCAGATGTTGGAATGGCTGGAGAATTCTTGAACGCGTCTGTGATCGCATTTTGAATGTCTCAGCGAACACTGTCTGTTCAGTTGTGGTGGATTAGGACCAGGAGTTCGCGGAGTTCTCTTTCTCGCTCCTTTTTTTTGGGTAATGTTTATAGTTGGTTCTTTTTTCCCCACCTTTGGGCTGGTGATATGGTTCTAGCGATACCACGGTTTATGTAGTTGCCTCGTAGCCCATAGGAAATTAAACATGTAGTTCCTAGGTCAAAAAACTGAGCCTTGGTTTTTTTCACATTTAACTAGGGTTAAATAACCAACACTCAGACACTTTTTCTTTGTAATTTTCCTGTCATCACTCCTTTAGATGATTTTAAGTCATTAGATTGTTATTATTTATATATTTTCATTAAGGTGATGATTTATCATGATCAACCTTACTTGTGTGCTGGTTCATTTCGGCAAATGGATTTGTAGAAGCATGTAACCACTTCGCTTTCTTTTATGCAACATTTTTCTAGATTTATTTGCTAAGAGAAAATGTCTTATTGCAGGGTTCGCGTTTTCATCGTGTTATCAAAGGTTTTATGATACAAGGTGGTGATATTTCTGCTGGGGATGGAACTGGAGGGGAATCAATATATGGCTTGAAGTTTGAGGATGAGAATTTTGAGCTGAAGCATGAACGCAAAGGCATTTTATCCATGGCTAATTCGGGCCTTAACACTAATGGGTCTCAGTTCTTTATAACTACTACTAGAACGTCCCATCTCGATGGCAAGCATGTCGTATTTGGGAAGGTGATCAAAGGGATGGGTGTTGTGCGGTCAGTTGAGCACACTCCCACCGCAGATGGTGATGCTCCAACAGTTGATGTCACTATTGTGGATTGTGGGGAAATTCCTGAAGGGGAAGATGATGGAATTATAAATTTTTTCAAAGATGGTGATATGTACCCTGATTGGCCAACTGATCTTGACGAGAAGCCTGTTGAAGTTTCATGGTGGATGAATGCTGTGGACTCGGCCAAAACATATGGCAATGAATGCTACAAGGTTGAAATTTAAAGTGGCCAAATTATTATTATTAGTGATTAAATATAGTTCAACATGCTGTTGCTTTTGTTTTTGAAATTTCATCATAGTTTCATATAGTTTCCATCTGTGCCACAGACAACTGTAGATGGTTTTCTAAAAAATCAGCTGCTTTGTCCCTTGGAGTGTCTTTTATTTTGAATGACATTTTTTTTTCTAAATATTTTGCTCATTCTAGGGATTCGGGATCTGTACATACAGCGGGTACTTGAAAAATTTTATACATGCTGGACAACTCTTAATTAGCTTCTTAAATTGATGTGCAGAAGCAAGATTTTAAAATGGCTCTTAGAAAGTACCGGAAAGCCTTGCGCTACTTGGATGCTTGTTGGGAGAAAGAGGACATTGATGAAGGCAAGGCTCCTAATAGTGTGCATTTGGTTAATTTATATGGTATTCAGTAATAATTTAATTTCTATCAATTATTCTGACTATGCAGAAAAAAGTTCTAATCTGCGGAAGACAAAGTCTCAAATACTCACAAATAGTTCTGTAAGCTTTCATCTTCATCCTTTACTGAGTACTTGGTATGAAAAATATACCTTGAACAAGTGCCAAGATTTAATCTATTTCTTAGCCTTCTTTGTTTAGAATCTTTAGTTGAGAATACCCTCATCTGTTTTGGTATGTATTTAAGCTGTGTTTCCATTTTCGATTTGAAGTGTTGTGGGCTCTAATATGCTTTGTTATTTTGTATTTATGCTGTAGACTAGGAATAATGACTACATTAATGCTGTTATGTGAAAGTCTACGCAACATCAAAAGGAAAATGTTTAGCAATGCTCGTTTTCAAGGATTCCTCTTTCTATGTGGAACCTTATCTCTGAAGCATACTCATGCGTTAAAGCCAAAAAGGTTAAAAGCTGATCAACTATCAACTTGATGTGATGCAAACTTGTTCTGGTTTCTTGTCTACTTTGGCTCCGGAGTAGTTGGACAGTCTGAAAGGTCACCCTGATGGGGAAAGTTTGCCGAGAGGGTCTATGATTTTCAGGCCTTGGAACTTCAGTTTAATTGTGTGAAACTTCAATTAAGAAAATCATCTTATATATTGCTAGAATCTGGAATATTTGCTCGAAAATTAAATGAGATATTGGTGGAAAATATTACGTAAGGATGACAAATGCCAGGCTGCGCCTTAGTGTTGGTCTCCCATAAGTGTTTGAGTCCATAGCCTGTTGTCTCAGTTGCTACAATGTATTTAGATGAACGTCCCTTGGTTCGCATTTTAACTACATTGAAAAATTAGTTTCCAGTACGTTGGCTCCTTAGTTTCAGTTATTGCCAATTTATGGTTGGTGTTTGGCCACTTAATCACGTCCAGAATGATATTTTCGTATGAATCTTGTCAAAAGAGCAAGAGACGGAGAGTATTTTTGATTTCTATGGTTCCCTCCTTTTAATGAAAATGTAACTCTCAATGCAGACGGTTTTTTATTATTGCTTTACATCGAACTCCCCAAGTTCCAGATTTAATAATTTAGGAATTATAAGGATAATTTTGTAACAAATTATTTTTTTGAGGGCCCGAAATGGTCATCAGAACCCTCTGTTATCCAGTAAAAAAAGAAAAGAGGTGTACAATGCCTGAGTTGTTTAGGTACCTACTATTATATTCCTGGATTCTATAACGCGCAGGCCATTTGTTTCATTTGGCATGGTCTTTGAAGTGCACCTGCTGATCTCCACAAATATAGACCCTTTTCAGTGTGACTTGCGGCTTTCATTAGTTGCATCCAGTGAATTAGACATTTCAATGCCCTGGGTTTGGAAAATAAGAGGGGCTCTTGACTGGTCACCTAATCCAATGGATTGACAGGCCTGCAAGCTGAAATTAGGCGACTTAAAGGGTGCTTTGTTGGATGCGGATTTTGCATTGCGTGAAAGAGAAGGAAATGCCAAGGCGTATTTCCGCCAAGGTCAGGTCAGTATTATCTGCATATTTCACTTCATCATAGATTGACTTTTTTCTATATGGAAGGATGACATATGATCCTTGTGCTGTGCTGGGCATCTTTCTGGCGTTTCTTTTTTTCTTTTCTTTTTTTTTTCCAAAAGGGGAGAAGACCATGATTCATTAAAATGGGCACTTCGGAGATTGGTAAAACACCTGGTGTGGGAAAGCAAACGTGTATTCTCTCATGCAGCCACATTGCATTACCATCTTGAAACTTCATCCGGAGTATAATCTCATACTAAGTTTAACTCTCCTTCTACAAGCATCCCACGTTTAGCCATCAGTATATACAAAATCCTTGCAGAAGTCAAAAACTACTCATCTTTTTTACTGCTGATGAATGGTGTATGCTGGTCAAAGTGTACTGCTGATGGTTTTCTTTTAGCAGACTTTGTTGTCATCAGATAGTAGTTGGCAGTGTTAGGCTATAAATATTAATAGGTGCCTCTTTATTTCTATGCTTAAGCTCTGTCGGCGTTGATCCCTTTTGGAGGAACCCCTGATATGTGCACCCTGTCCCCGTCCATCAGGCACACAATGCGCTAAATGACGTGGATTCTGCGTTTGAGAGCTTCAAGAAGGCACTGGAGCTGGAGCCCGACGATGGTCAGATGGCTTCAAGGCTTTCTCACTCTCTTTCTCTCTCTCTCTACCCCCCCCCCCCTTTTTGAATATGTTTCTATACACACATGCATTAATTCCTACCATGGTAATATCTTTCAGGAGGCGTAAAGAAAGAGTATGCTGCAGCGAAGAAGAAGGTCAGTGAGCACAAATAGAAACCCCCAGGGGCCGTTCTAGAAGGGTACGTCTCTAACATGTTCTTGTGTGTGATAGATTGCTGATCGGCGCACTCTGGAGCGAAGGGCGTACTCTAGAATGTTCCAATAACATACGGCGTTCTACCCCATGATACCCATACTGAAGGTGGGGATACTGCCATTCTTTCCTCATCTAGTTCGGCAAGAGTCAACGGGTTGTACCCTTTTCCAAGTCAAATCCGTTCACAATCGCTGGGTTTGCCTGACAGGTTTACATCGCTGGAATATATCAGTTCTATAATCGCACATCGTATACTCAGATGCTGAGTGAGGTATTCCAGTTCTCAATCAGAATTCTGCCATGGACCGAAGAGCTTGGGGGGTCATCTCTCTAATGGGATTGTGGCATTTCAGGGCAGCAGATCCTTGGTGCCAGGACAGACTTCTTCTCTCCAGCTAAGGCTCTGGAGCCTCCACTCCCCTTCTCTCTCGGTGTGGTTCGCTCTTGCTGAGTAGTCTTCATTTTGCCAGACTATCCGCAATGAACCCAGAATTCTTTCTCAACTTTTTCTCAGAAAAGAGGGCTCCGAGGTTTTTCTGAAAATGGGCGGCAGGATTCTAGTCCCCTGACAGCCAACACGGCGGCGCTGTTGGTGCCAATGGCTGAGCAGGGCCATGAAAAGAGCTGCAGCTGGCCGTCGCCGGCGGCAGCCAACCGCCGGCCGCCATGTGCGCCGCCCGTGCTGACTGCTGCCAGTGGCCACTGTCATATGCTGGCTGTTGCTGGCGGTGCCAATCGTCACGGGTTGTTTGTGCCGCCAAGTGCGCCATTGTGTGGTCATGTCTTCCAAATCTCATGCAGACAGCAATTAGGCACTGGCAGCCAGCCTGCCAGCATACGTGCCCCACCTGCAGTTTGGCCACTGCTGACACCGTGGCCGATGCCTATTGCAGTGGGCTGTGCTCGCAGGCATAGCTGCGCACAACCTCTCCTCTCCTGCTATCTCCCTCCCACACACAGCCCCCCGTATCAAGCCCCATATCATTGAGGTGGATCCAGGTGGCTGAGGTGGGCTGAGCATGGGCATATCAAGGGGCCACAGCCAGACCTCATCTCCCCCAGGCTTTACAAGGCTGAAAGCCAATACCTCCCTCCTGGCACTACCAACGATTATCATGGTGGCTACACGAAGGGCATGTTCTATGATGAGTGAAAGAAGGCGGTAACATTAATAAAAAAAAATTAGATCCAATGCAGATAACATTTGATGGTAAGGAGAAGCATTGATTCCCTTCAAAATTACCAGGCCCGCTCCTTGTCATCATCAATAATAGCTGCAAGGAGCTCAAGAAGAAGAAGATAAGAAAACAGGATGAGGTGAAGTATGTCTGTCAGTTGTAATCATCGAGACACAGGTCTCTCAGCGCTGCAGAAGCAGCTTCCTTGCAGATCGCACTGCTGGACTTGGCCTTCCTGATGAGTCTCTCAACTCCATTGCCCAGCAGAATGGTTCTGCAGAATCACAAGACGAATATAGGCTCATCAAGACTCCCTAGGATCAAACAGTTTCAAGTAATGGGTGAAAATGAGAATGACGGCCACAAGGACAAGAGAGATCAATTTAATGATGTCAGCTGTAATAGTATGGGAAATGGAGATTCTAATTTGAGTAATAATATCTTTAAAGATAGAACTGAAACTCAGCTTGGTCCTCAAAGCAGATGTCTCACCTCAAAGATAGAACTAGCCAGTTCAAACAATCAATTAATAGTAAATGTCTACATTGACTGCGGCAAGGTAAATTGAAAGTTGCTATTCATCATGGCACATTCTCTACGTAAAAATTTGCAGAGTCATGCTTGTTTGATCATCTTCTCTGCCCTTCTGTGTCAACCTTCTCCCTTCATGAATTAGCTACCGCGGCAGATAGTAGCAGTTCTGCTCTGAACATATCAAAGTCAAAACCAATTAACCACACTTTATTATCCCATTTATCTTATCACTGGGTTTTAATTTGTCCCTTCATATATGGTATTCCTATGCGAGCGCAACACTGAAAGATGCTTAGAAAGAAAGATGAATAAGACTGACGTCGAACAAACAACCAAGCTTGAAAAAATTGGGTAAGATAATATTCTGCAGACCACGCCATGCTAATATGCTGCATGCATGATAAAATAAAATTTCAAGGGATTGAAGAACAACGTCTCCACTAGACCAAAGGGAGCGGACAGTAACAGTAGGTCTTATGGAGACGTCTCCACAGATGCATTCACAGATGGAGGGGACATTATTGATCTACAAATAGGACGTTAATCATCGTTTCTTAGCATCATATGTTCCCTTTAAGATCAATATAAACGGTGTAAGATTTTGTCAAATAGAGAAACACACCTGTTTTCTGGGTTCCTCACCACAAGATTACGGATCATGAGACAACATTGTTTCTGCATCTGATATGCAGATGGAAACTTCCGCATTGCCTGAATTGCCAAATCTCCAGCACCTGCTTCAATTGCACGGGCTGCGTTCTCAGGAGTCCTCAGAGACAGCGCAGAGATAACAGTCATGATCTGGATAAAACAGTTATCGTAATGAATAAAATAGCAGGAAAATGAAAGTCTCAAATAGATGAAAAATAGGCTCTCATAGATAATTTAATGCCATCGGGAGTGCTTTTTTGTATTTTCGGTACCTCCTGTAGAACAGCTGGATCATCAAAAAATTTTGACGAAAGTTTGATTAGGTTATCAAGGCCACCATTCTGAACAATAGTATTCTTGTTCGAGTCACTGCCGGCCAACTTCAAACAGACAAACACTGCATCGTATTAGCATAGTTGACGAGATAATTGTTCAAACACGAAAAAGGAACGATAAATAGCAAGGCCTCTGACCTTGAACAATAGAGAACAGCAACTTCTAGCAATTGCCTTGTCATTTTGTTCACTACTCTCCACTATACATTTGAGAACTGCATCAATGCCACCTTTTTCTGAGATTGACCTGCATATTTCATCCTATAAAACGAAGATGTGAAGTTGCGGAAAAAATATGCAGTCTAGTCAAACTAAAGAAGATAAAAGAAACAATGAAAATATAGCATGCACGCCATTAAAGGGAACTTTAATCACAACGATTCATCTTCGAATCACGATCATTAAGTAAATGAATTTTAACAAAAAGAAAAAACCTTTACTAGAACACAAAGTATAGTAAGAAAGGATAATAAGATAAATATGAAGGTATTCGATCATCCTAATGCCTGAAAAGTTATTGGTCCCTCATCACAATACATCTAATAACCTGGAAGTAAAACCAAACCAACAGACCGTTTTGATGTTAACTTTATGCATCACTCTAGTTTTTTTACGAAAAATGTAAACCATTAATTATTATTATTTTTTAACTTAAAAAATACGTCTTAATTGTTTTATATCAATTGTGCAAAACATTTGCCCGTTATCAGTTAGCAAGTCGTGCATACATGCCCATTGAGAAGCCATACTAATGACCTACCACATGCTCACCATTTCACGCTAAAAACCAAATCAAATTAGCTGAGATTATAAGACACTATCAAGAAAGAAGCAAATGACCATTTTTCTAATCTGATATTTTCTACTGCCACATAATATCCTTTGCGATGAGAAGTTGTATACTACATTAATGGACTGCCATTATAACAACCAGAGAAAGGAATACAAATCAAATATATCATATGCTTCCCTCCTGCTGACATAGGCAGGAAAAGTTATCCGAAGAAACATACAGTGAAAAAAGTAATAAATTAAAGTTCACCATGAAGTTACTGGATGAGCTAGTTCAATAGTAGGAAGAAAATATTGGGCTACTTTAAAAAGTAACAGCATCGATCAGAAGGAAACAAACTTACATTAACAGCAACAGCTTTCAGAGCAACACATATTGAAATTACACCAGGAGAATGGAGCCCATCTTTAAGTGCTTCTACAAGAGCATCTGAAATGCCAATTTGAGCAAATTTTCGAGCATACCCATACACCTAAATATCCAAAGATATATGTTGTGTATGAATTCAGGACTCCACTTACAATTAAGAATAAAATTACTGCCCTATGATGGAAAAATCTACAATCCTTTTGGTACAGCACAAAGTACATCCTCAGTCTAGTTAAAAAAATTCGGGAATGAAAGTGTAGATAAATCTCAGCGAAGGAAGAATACACAAGGAGATAACAAAGAACCAAAAGGTAAGTCTGTTACTCCACCGCTAAGACATCTAAATGAAAATGTCTCCATTTTCATAAGAATAGCGGAAATGTGGTATAAAGGCAATGTTTGCTCTTATGTACAGGGGTCATGTCATAAGCGGATGCAGATAATTTGTCTAAAACGCTTGTTAATGCAAACTAATTATCATACATCAAATAAGCGAATATATATATATATATATATATCAAACTATCCTTTGAGAATAGAACAGAAAAGTGTTAACATCCCAGTAAAATGACAACTAAGTTTGAGATTTTCTTTTGTTCTTGTAGCATAAATCATGGTGTGTAAGATCATTGTTAATAACGTTCCAAAAGTATTTAAGTAATACTTTACTATCAGTACTCTATGCATCACAAAGCAAGTCAGACAAACCTAATTAGCAGCACAAATAAAACTTCTCCCCTTGAGAAATGTGCATCAGTATCATAATTTTTAATATTTCCATGCATGATAAATGCCAAACCAGCTTGTATTTAGGATGCAAGCTTGCATGGCCAAGGCACAAAGGGAAAAAAACTAGATGGAAGACCACTTTCCATAATGACATCGTGCTCCCAAAAAGAGCTCATTCACTGCTACATTCATTCCCATCAGAAGGGAACTTCATTCAAATATGCCATTACAAAAGAAAAACTCAAGATCAGCTGAACACTGAATCAGAAACAGAGCGTGGTGCAGGTGTTGCCAACATGTGAAATCATGTCTTATCATCATGAGTTATGGATGTCCATGAAATGGTGGACCCTATGCATGCTAGCTTTTTGCCTCAAATATCTGTAAACCAGATTGCTGCAACTGAAAGATTACTTCCCATCTTCTAGGACTTAAACGGTCAGAATGCTCAAGATTCATTCTAAAACATCTAATATTTGTTGGAACAGGCATATAAGATTCCCATTATTATAAACGAAATTAATAGACAGGAAACAAATTAGAAATCATATAAATCACAAATAGCAACAGTGGTAAGGGTACACTTACCTGGGAAGCCAGCACACGGTGATCATCAGGTGTTAGCAGGATGCGTATGGCATCATACATACTTTCAGTGCAACATTTCGATTGTGCATTCAATTTTCTTACAAAAAGTTCACCGATTTTTAAGTCCATAAAAGCTTCTTTCACAATCTCATTGCCAGTTGCAGCTGCAGCAACAACGGAAAAACAACTATCCAATAGGTTTACACTCTGACCGTATCTATTCAATATCTGCATGATAAGTTTGGGGCCATGATTGCACTGAAAAATCTCTGTGCTTCTGATATCTGCACAATTATATACCAAAGTTAGAACCACTGGAGAGTAATTATAAAGATGCCTGTAGATTTATGCCCATGTGGGAAACAGGGATAGAAGTGTTTATAATCTTTAGAATTTAATAAACGAAACTAGGGTCGATAGAGTTGTGGATAACCCAAAACAAATATTTTACGACAACCTTGACGAATAAACAATAAATAAATTTAGAAGCAAATATAACTAAATCAACTTAATTTCTTACAACAAAGAAAAAAATCAGAAAAATATTTTCCACGGTATAAATGTAATAATGCTTTTCAATTACAATTACCGTGATGATGATGGATACAATGAATTGACCTCAAGTCTATGATGAACAATAAGATATTGTAACCAAATTTGAGGGTGACAAACGCAAAAAGATCAACCCGCTAAGAATTGTGAGCTTTATATTTGGTTATGCAAGATAGCACAGACGAAACTTTGCATCATCACCCATAAGTATGGGTTAAGTTATTCCGCTGAAGGTTCCGGGGATCAAATTGCATAAACAGTATGTCAAAGAGAAGAAAAAGGATGCTGACAAATACGATGCATATTCAGTGGAATCATTTCAGGAGGACATCCGTATCGAAGTCAAAATAATAAAATATATGCCGCGACCCAGCTAGGAGAGTGAGGTGCCAGGGGAATGGTGTCGAACACAGCTCAACAAATGGCCAAGGGGGAGAGGGAGGACAGTAACTGACCGCAAATAACACAGCTCAATGCCTTTAAAGCCGACACAAGGGCATTCTCCTCCGCATTCTCGAGAGAAGAACATGCGGAGCAGAGCAGCTCCACTGCGCCATTTCTGACAGCAATAGACGCGTTCTCGTGCCCGCTTCCTCCCCCTCCAGATGAGCAAAGATCGCTTAACCTGTCGAGCAGTCGGACCACCTCACCCATATTCGACTTCTGGGGGAGCCCGGAGGCGAGCATCTCCTTCAGGGCGTCCACGGCCTGGAGCACTGGGTCGTCCTTGGCACTGGCAACCCCGGGAACACACTTGACAATACCTGAGAAACAGAGCGATCAGAATCGAGTAAGACGAGCAGGAGACGACTGACCAGGACGGAGGAAGGGGTAGCAGACCGGAGAGGTCGACGCCCTGGAGAGAGAGCGCCTGAATCGCGTCGTCGAGGGCCTCCTCTGGGTCCATCCCGAGATCCTCCACGTTCTCTCTCACCATATCCTCGAAAGCTTGCTGCGAGATCGCGCGCCCGCCGCCGCCGGGGGCCATTGCCGTCCTCTTGCCTCACCGGCGGCGAGGACGGTTTGGATCTCGGAGTGGGCGTCGGTGGTGGCGCTGCTTCTTCCCGTCAGAATTTTCAAACAATTACAGAGAGAGAGAGATATAGTTCCCCCCCAGGCCCATTATGGACGCAGCTATTTAAGGGGCTTCCTCCCCAGAAAGGCCCTTCTTTTCCAAACACTTCACAGGAGGGAGAGAATGGGAGAAAGCGATTCTCATGGTCCAGCAAAGCCATCCTCTGCAGAGGCGACTCTCTAGACACAACACTTCACCGTTGGGCTCAAGACCCTTGAAAATAGATAGACTTTGATAACTTCTTCATCTACCTTAAGGTCAACGGCATAGAGGAGGTTTACTGTCTTTTTTTCTTTTTTACATGAAACAATAGTTTGAAGAGTTCATGTATTATCCTGAAACTCATGTTAGGAGCTGCACAAGTAGATAGCATGAGTCAGAGATAGATGAAGAAAAATCACATGGTAGTGGAGTGTGTATTACCCCTATAGAGTATGTACTTCTCAAGGGATACAAGATTCTTGAGCCAATTTACTACGTGGCATAAGCTAATTAATCAAAGATGTGAAGCAAACATTCTTCACTACAATGTGGTTCTTTCCAGCTTGGAGGGAAATCAACTTGTTAACAAGTGAGTGAATTGATAACAACTTGGTTGGCACATTTTTTTCATGAATTTATTTTTTACTGATATAATATTGTATTGTTTTGCAATATTTGGGTCATAACTTATAAGCATCAATAATTATGATGTTTTCCTACATTTTGGTGATCTAAGACTTAAATTTATTGGGCCACAATTGAACACAAGTTAATGCATTAGTGGGGGTTTGTTATCATAAAAATTGACATGGGAGAGTTAAAAATTATATTTAACAAATGGCCTATCAAGGATGATGCCTAACTATTGTGAATTCTAATTGAGTATTTCAGCTGAAGAAGGATAAACTACATTTGGATGTTACATATTTAATTATAAGAAGATGGAAAACAATGAAACTTAGCTTTAAATTGAAATTTTGGTTAATAGTCTAGCTTCTTTATTGAAAAATACAAAATCATAGGAATTGTGAGTAATTAATTTCCAACTAAAATGATACATAGCCTAGCCATGCTTTCTGGGTGGTTGCATGAGGTAAACTCTTTCCATATTTTATAAAATTACGTGATAGTTGAATGGTAGTTTGGTTTCTTATGAATGTCTTATTATATCTTATAAGATCTTATCAAATGATCTCTATATTTTAAACTTTACCATTTAATTCGTTGATAATAATTGTTTTAAAAACAAAAGATAGTAGGGCTGAAAGAGGTTTAATAATTTAGGTAACTATATAGTACTATTTTTTTTAAAAAATTCACCTATGAATCTATTCTATCAATGAAGACCATTGCTCATGACACTAACATCTTAATTATATATAAAAATAAATATTAATAATATTTAATAAAGTTAGTCATGTTATGGGGATATCTTTTTGATGAACACTATACATCATTGTCTCACAAGCTTAATAGCATTTTTTGATGCATGCTAGTTAATATTGGATCTTGTTCATAAAGGATAAAATCGAAGTTTCTCCATTGAGTTTTAGTTTTAGTTGTAGATGTAACATACTTTAGCTTTGCGAGTAGTATACATCACTGGTACAAAAGTTGTTACTTTATTAATCGATTACTAACTATCAATATCATGAGTAGTCATTTAATGATGTGCATTATAAGATGATTTTTTTATGTAGATAATAGCTGAACCAACTCAATGGAATATCTCTACACATTTATGGTACAACTATAAAATGGAGTCATCCACATTATGACTTATAATAAGTTAATTAGAAGAAAAAATTTAAGATCGAAAGATCTTTGAGTTCATTGATATTTGATTCTCACTTCAGCTCACTAGTTTTTTTTTGTCCATCCTAACTATGTCATAATTAATCATCTTCTCATAATTTGAATATTTTGTCTCTCTTTCGATGATGTGAAGTAACACTTATAGAATATTGTGATTACTACATTGATACCTTAAATCTAATCAAGAATTGAATTAGAAAACTAGACTACTAATATTAATATTTCAATTAGAAAACTAGACTAAGTTTAATCCATTATGTATGATTGAGTATGCTAGATATGTTAAAGCCTTTGGTTTTGATACTTTAAGTGAAACTTTATTTAAGAAATATTTATTAAATATTTACCACTTAGTTAATAGATTTCATGAAAGCTTGTGTTAGAAGTTTGATATTTTTGAGTAATATTAAAAATGTATATTGATGATGCTTGAATAATCCTATGACTAATAAAAAAATTCAAAAATTTATATCCTTGAGATATTCTTATGTTGAATTTAATGCAGCATCATATAATTCATATATGAGTACAAAAAATTAGGTATCAGCTCATGTGATGAAGTTTCTGAAAAATCAAGAAATATGAAGTCACCCCCTATAGGATTCAAACTCAGAACTTGAGTGATGGGAAGTTGGAAGCCTCAATAAGAAAAGTACTAAGAAAAATTAATAAATATTAATTCAAGTGTTGGACTCAAGCTCATGACTTGAGTTTAATAAAAAGTTCACAAGGCTCAACAAGTAAAATGTCTGAAACTTATAGAAAAACAAAATCGTTGGCACAATTATAAATCAAAACTTGAATGACAACACATTGGAAAGTTGATCAAATAAATACTAAGAAATATTAGAGCACATGTCTCTAGTGAGATTTGAACTTGAGACCTATATACAATGACAAATTTGAAGTGTATGCAAGAAGCCATAAAAAAGTCACAAAATAGGAGAAGTTTTTACCACACATTGTGGATAGTGACATATCAACAAAATACATGAAGAAAATGATAGATCAAATAGACTTACTTAAACTTGGCCCCAAAAGCAAAGATAATTATTGATAAATTATAAATCTTCATATGAGTTTTAAACATAGCCAATGTGAGAATAACAAGTCTTGAAGTAAGAAATGAATGAAGATCATTGCCACACACTCTGGATAGTAACATGCTGGTAGAATACACGGAGATAATAACAAGCTCAACAATCTTGTTTAGCTTGACCTTGAAAAAAAAACTCTTAATTGATAAATTAAGAATCTCTTACAAAGTTTCAAAGATAAAGAATGTGAGAATACAAGCTCTAAAGAAAAGTAAGACCAAAGATCACTAACACACTTGTAGAATAATGTGAAGAAATTTGAATTCACATGACCAATTTTTTAGGTGATGAGAAGACATGAGAACACTAGAGAATAAAAAGAAAGAGCTTATGAAGAAAAAAACTTAATTCTTAAATAAAGATATCTCTACTATATTTATTCATGCTCAAAAGAATATTCTACTCTATATTCCAAATATGGAAAGGCCCAATACATTGAAAGAAACTCATTGCCCATGGATAGTTTTGACATCAAAAATAACAAAATATCTCATTTTATATATTGATTCAAGTCAACAATTGCTTCAAGAGTTGACTCTCTCATTTGAATCTTAAGATACATAAGTGGTGAGTGGAGAGAGACTTGGACTAAGTCACATGATGTTGTGAGCCTTGTAGTGATTGTGAAGGGTGTGGTCTTTAAGGAGGTTGGTGTGTTCTGGCTAAGGCACATGGTGTTGAGAGCCATGTTTTACTGATGAAATGTAAGATGTATGCAAAGATTAAACTAGTGTAATTGGATTATTGATCTTATGAAATTAGTGTGTATTTTTTAGAGAAAATAGTAAATTCTAGTATGAATGATACTTTGGAATTAGACATAGTGCAATGAAGAACAAATCAATATAAAAATTATGTCTTCATTGATAATGAGAGAGAGACAAGAGTGTTTTGCATATAGAGAGAAAGTACTTTCATTAAACTTGTATCTAAACTAGAGAAGTTATGTGAGAACATATATTAACACATATACTCATAGACCAAACAAAAGAACATTATATAAATCATACAAAACCAGTTCACCTCTCCTCTTAGTGTTCCACTTAGCCTCATTAAACTCTAGAAAACACATAGATTATTGTTGACTTAAGTTATCTATGAATTAAATGAGCTTTACTTGCTCAGTAGAAATCACTACAACTAATTAAAATTATTTTTTGACTACCATGGGCCCCTAAAAATAGCTTTTATGCATAGCTTGTAATGCAATTTATAGAAAGGATGAAGACCTTGAGATGCTCTCACATAACTTAGAAATAAAGTACTAAACTCATAAGGCTCATCAATTAAGGATAAAAAGTTACTATAAATTGATTCTTAAGGTAATATTGAATTTATGACAAGTTTATTTTGTATTTGATTCAACACTTATTGTATTGTGTGCTTTTAAAGAAGTTGATCTTAAGGGATATGTGTAAGAAAGTCTAATAGTTTGTCTAATGGAGTCAATGGTAATTTGTGACAAGAGACGACCTCAAGTCTAGTTTGTAAGATATGATCCGATATGTAAGTTTGTTAGTTAACACATTAGCTTATACTTTTTTTGAATAATGCTAATGAAATATTCCAGAGAAATAGTAGTGGTATTGGTGAAATTAAAAATTCAATGTACTATTTGATTCGATGAGTTTGTTTCATAAGTTCATTTCTCACAAATAAGAAACATTTACACAAATTCACTTTTATGCTAATGAAAATTTGGTTCTTATTTAGCACAACATTTTTTTCAGCACTATATAAAATTTCATTTGACTATTCTTGTTGACATTTGAATATTTTAAAATTTATGAATATGTATGATACTATAAATATCTTGGGGCATCTGCAACTTATTTATCCTGGTCAAAAGAGTCATGCTGATATTTTATTTACCTTATAATTACCCTTGATTAAGAGGGGGGATGCAAAATCATAGAAATGTGAAAAATATTCAAAAAACTAACTCATCCTCTCTCTTGGTATTCTATATAGCCTACTTGAGAGCAACACGAGTAAAATGGTAGACCATTTATCTTGATCATAATCAAGATCATCATTACTTCTTCCACAACACCATCCTTGACCTTCAAACCCCACCAATTAGCTTATAAAGCCATCTTGAGTATCAATATAGCATTATTATATCCAAAGTGCTTCAGAAGCCTTCCTCTTCTCTTCAAACTCAAATCCCATTTCCTAGGTTTTTCCCTCTTGGCATAAGCTTCACTTGGCAAGGTAAGTCCATTGTACCCCTAATATTTAAAGAAATGATTTTTTTAAAATATGAATAAGAAAGATTCAATGTGAATACTATGGTAACTTAAATAAAGATTAAATAAAAATAGGCAATATTTTTAGTTCATTATAATCGGAATTGAATTCCAGTTTTTTTCATGAGAGAATATCTTTATTCTTCATAAACTAATTTTGTAGTGTGTTTCATTTTTACAACGGTGCCTTAAACAGATTTCAAGGACATTTAAATAAATTCAAAACAAACTACAGGTGAGAAAATAATATAACTCGAGAAACTAATCCCTGATGCATTAATGACGCATTTTATTATTGGCCACCTCTGATTTGGGCCTTATGGGCTTCTGATCTTCATAGCCCATCTTTGAAACTTATGGACGCTTGGCCCACCATTTTTGGGCTACTTGGGTCAAAATGTTTTCTACCTTCTCTTCGCTGTGGTTGATGTGCTACATCACTGTTGCGGTTTGAACCAACGTATGGCCGTGAGTGAAACTATTATCATCGCTTTTTTGTCCAGAGCCCATTTGGACTTGGTACTCAAAGGAGGGTGCAAAAACTATTTAAAATCAATATGGGTAGTAAAAAACTTGTTTATATGAAGAGGGGAAAATTAACATAGTACTGGCTTTCTACAATTTCCTTTTCCTCTCTCCCTCTTTCTCTCTCTCTCGCTCGCTCGTTTCCTTTTTTCGACTCTCTCCGGTCGCTCCGTGGCCGGGTGGCGATGTCTTCGCCGCTTCGAGGGGCTGAATGCAATGGCAGCGGCGGCGGGGGAGGCCTTTTCGCCGCCTCCCACTGCTTTGCGGAGGTTGTTGTGGTGCGCCACGGGGAAACTGCCTGGAACGCTAGCAGAATTATTCAGGTTTGCCATCGATCTGTCTTTCCTTCTCTTTCCAATTGTATCCTTGTTCATGCATGTCAGTGTATTTTTAGATTATTCAGCGATGTTTCTGGGTTTTGCGTATGTTGTTGCGTTAGCGACTCTTGTAGCAGGATGCTAGACAAGAGAAAGAAAAAACCTCTGAAAGAGAATATTCTTGATTTGCCTCGAACTCATCGACAAAATGGGGTTTTATGTCTTTTAAACACCTTTCAGAAACTGATGAAATCATGTTTTGTATGTCTCTGAAACTCCGCTAAAATTCCCTTCAGTTCCTTTCCAATCAAATGGTAAAAAGAATTACTGATAAAGAAGTCTTCCAAAAGATTTCATAGTCTAGGCACATCAATAATTCCGCTTCTTCAACGACCAATGACGTTCAACATCTCGCCTACATATCTTTGATCTGTACAAGAATCAATATTACATTCCTGCTGCATAATCTCACATTCCTAAAAAAGGAGACCACTTAAAACACGCATAATCTTTATTCCAAAGGGTGAAATTATGGACTCATTCAAAAGTGGCTTTTATCTAACATCTAATTAAGATCTTTATGTAATAAACAATTGTTATTTTTATCCCCGTTTTTAAGATGCAGGACATACCTACCTATGCGATAATGTGATAACTTGGGGGGAGGGAGCTCGAACGTTGCATTGTTTAGACATTTCCTTGTTAGATAATCTCCCCCTGTGATCAGTAGTGAAGTTTCTACTGTGAGTACGTTTCTGGACTGAATAGTCTCTCCTTCCTAATTAATTTTATTGAACCTTAGACTCCATTGATGACGGATCTGTGCCTCTATTTTCCATGGAACTCTTAGGTAGCTGGCAATTCGGAAGTTACATTTTGGTAAACTAGTACTTGAGGGCATGTAGACTCTTCAAGAGGGAGAAAATCAATTGGAAAACCTCCTTTTTAGAAGTTTAGATGGCATTCTGATCATCCTTCCTTTTCTTAATTATGGACTGGCGCTTATATAATTGCCTAAAATCACTTTATGTCACCAAACTTTTTACTGATATTTTCCATAAGTTATGCAATGTTATGCTTTACACTGATGTCTGAGACTTCAGTACCAATTCTTTTTCGCATGTTCATATCTACCTAATGATTTTGAGTGTTAAGTAGGCTCCCATTTCAGTTGTCTACACTGTTGGGAAGGTGGAGAAAAAAAAGTGTGCTCTTGTTTGAAGTCATTGATGAACTGCTTGTGGTCATTGGATTCTAAAACTTCAAAACTCACAGAACCTTGCATGAGTTATGTGTTTGATCATCTAATTGCAAGACTGTTTGGCTGCACAACGAGTTTTGAGAAGAGACGAAGGGGAGAATAACCTAGTATGCTGATTGTCAGTCATTTGGGATGATTATGGTGGAGAGCCTACCCTTTCTTCAAAGTAGGCCTTAACGTTAAAAAGCATACGAATGTTGTTATATTCCCTTCAAAACTCCAAAGTTGACCAGTATCTCACTATAGATGTGGATGTAATTTTATAGATTTTTTTTGGAGTTTTACCTTGAGAATCTTTTAGCACATTTTGTTTCTAATTAATGATCCATAATGTGTTCATCTTTGGTTTTCTATTTATGTGATACCCGCTCTCCAATGGCTTGAAATAAGAAAAATAAATAAAAGGGTGATAACTAACCTCTAATTGATTGAATCAACGAAATTCCGCAGGTTTCCCATCATCACAGATCGTTTCAACAAGAACTAATGATCACCAATTGCAACCATTCTAGTCATCCCTGTTTTATCTAACTCTCCTTGGTATGTGTTGGATCAAGAATTGTATCCTTATGAGTTTACATTATGATGTCCGTCTTCCATCCCTTTGCCTTATGCTTGTGTTCTTCGCCACACAGGCAGCCATAAAACGTTCTCCTCTGCCGATTATTGGAATTTAGCTGGATTTGTCATCCCAATGAAATATCAAGGTTTGACTGAATTTCTATATGATTGACAGGGCCATCTGGATGCAGAATTAAATGACGTTGGGAAAAACCAAGCATCTCTGGTGATCTACAGACCCTTTTAACTTCTTAACTACACTAGATATCAGTATCTTTATTTGTAGAAATCTAGGGCGTTTCTCAGGGCCATGTGTTCACTCAAAGTTGGTGTGAACACAAATTTCTGTGCGACACCTTATGTGCATATCACGATCCAAATTGATACTCAGGCGTGATGTGCATTGAGGGTTTACTAGGCGTCTTTATGAGGTTGGGCTCTAATGCTGTTCATAGTTTATGCCCTTAAGGTAGGAGATCGATTATCACGGGAGCCAAAATTTGCGGCAGTATATTCATCTGATTTGAAGCGAGCTGCTGAAACTGCACAGATAATAGCAAGGATGTGCAATTTGCCTGAGGTACAGTTAATAATCGCATGCCTTGCATTCTTCTCACCAATAAAGTTATTATACAACATTGTGGTATAATTTTTGTCTCTTTTCTGCTCTGCAGTGAAGTAATGCCTCTATTTCCTATTTAAATTTAGTTACTGAGGTAATCCAAATTCTGACATCTTTTATGTAAAATATAAGGGTCTTCTTCCTAAGGTTTTGTTATCTAGCAGCCATGAGATTGAAAAAGTTATTAGACAATTTTACACACCAATGATTTAGACACTATTTATTCAGACTTGTCAATATCATCCTTCCTTACTGCTCTCTTTTGTTTTCTTATCATTTAGGACAGTTAATTGCCTTGATGAAAAATATGATTAACTTGCTCAAGCATAAACGAGTTGAAAAGTAAATTTAAAGAATCATTGAACAATGGTTGTTTAGCCAAATTTCTTATATTGGCTTGTGCAATATTTTGGATGATGCTTATGCTACATTGTTGGAGGGCAAGTTATGGGTAAACACCTGCAATAATTCCTGCGTTGGTTCCTTTAGTATCTTGATACCTTGTTTTCTGTCTAAACTTGAATGCTGGGGGTCATCTTTAAAAAACCAAGTATTGTATATTTTTATTAAATATATATTTTCTTAAGTATATTCTTCATCATGAAGAGTTGTGCTCAATATAAAGACTAGTGATTTATCAAAAAAATAGACAATCAAGAATAGATTGCAACTCAAATATGCTTTACATAGTTGAGCTTAATATTCTATCATGTTCAATTTCTTCTCTAAGTCCATTTTCACATTAAAGAATTTGTTAGTGACAAAATATGAACAAGAAATTGGATGCTTTTGATTAGTAGCATGGTGATAAATTGATCAAAGGATTGCAATTATTTTTGCTAGTAAATTATAGGCTCTACACTTTTAAGAACATTATTTATGCTCTAAAGTCTGTTTTAAAAGTTAATGTAAATGATAATGATAGTTTTTGTAGTGCTTCACAAAATAAGGATGGATTTAATTTCTAGTTTGCACTTGTGACTTGTCCATATATTCTTTTGTGTTGTAGAGAACATTAAACTTCACCTGTGTCATTACTTCTTGCCTCAACCATAGGGTAGCAGGCCACCACCTTGTTCTCTTTGTCTGCCCTAAATAACTACGGTTGTGGCTAAATAAGGCCACCAACTTATTTAACCTGCTCTATTGGCTGATGCTTCTTGGACTGACTTTGTATTATCTTGCTAGGGATTGTTACTATTGACTTGTTATGTTCTATGTGGTATGCTCACCACAATTTGGCCAAATGTTTTGTCAAGGATCAAGTGGATGTGACAGCCACTAAACTCATTTTGTAACATTTAATCAACACAGTCTAGAATTCTTGTAATATTTGTTTTGGAACATTTGCTACCTCTTCAAAGTTGTTTCTTGGGACACTTCTATGGGCTATGATGATCTACATGTGGATGGTATTAGGGTTTTTTTTCTTGTCAATTGTTAATTTCTGTGGAGTTTGTATGTTTATAATTTAGATTATCTGTATTCATGGTATCAAACTTTTATTTGTGTTTTTCTTTTTACTGTTTTACGAATTGTCGATTTGCTCTAACTATTGACACTGATGTATCACCATTTTTCTTTGATAAGTTGCCCATTATCAATTTCACTCTAATACGTGTTAATCTTGCATGAGTTTTAGGTAGGGAACTGAAGGCTCTTCCAACCGCTAATGGCCAAAAAGTGAAAACAATATGTATAGAAAATAAGGTTTCGTATACAGAAATGGGAACCAAAGTAGAAGAGCCAACTCTCATACCAACCCTTGTGAGTAGCAGATGCCAGGAAAAGTGAGAGTTAACTGTTAGTCTGACTTGTGCATAAATAGGAACCTATTTATACGAGAGTCAACACTCAAGTCTGCTTGTGCAAAAAGCAAAAGACATTATATATGAGTCGACTCACATGAAAAATAGAATGTTTTTTTTTACAGGAATCGAATGAAAAATAAGACTGTTTTTTCAAGTGTAAGCACTCGAGTTGACCTACTTGAAAAAAAAACTATTTTTCATCAGAGTCAACCCTTGTGAAAAGTAGAACATTGTTGACACAAAAGTAGACTTTTAAGTTAACTTATGTCAAAGACAACAAGCTATTTTAAAAAATATGAACCACAGCTCGACTCAGAACAAATGATTCAGAACATGATGAAAGATTGACCCTCACTTAACCACTTAAACTTTAATTTTTACTCGTGTGATCATATGAATTTTCCTTTACCCACCCTCTTGTATTTCATTTATCCTTATTTTTTCAAGCTTACCATTAGAAGGTTGGAAAAAGGTTTATTTTGCACTTGGAGAAAGTCAAATTGGCACTTATAAGGTTTGATTGGTACCGTAAGGAAGTCATTCTATTTGTGTTGGGAAAACCCAGTCAAGATATCTACAGAGAGGGATAAGGAACAGAGTAGGTCTGATATTGATCAAACCACTATAAAATTCAGGTGTCCTCTTTTGTAGTGTGCACTTTTATAGCTGGCCCAAAAACTGAACCCCTAGATTTTTATAACTGGCCCAAAAAATCTAACAACAATGTTCTTGATGCAAATAAACTTGTGAGATGCTTTAATCTCAATTAATAGGAAACCCTGTCTGATATTGTCCTCGTCTCCTTTTTGCACAGTTGGTCTCAGGCTTAATTAAGTGATAGATGTCCCTAAGATTGTCTACATAGGGCTGTTGATGTTTTCTGTGTGAGTTCCTTTCTAAATTACATGATAAAGCTCATGAATTTGGCACGTAGTTTGAGAAGTTGCGGTACATGAAAAGATGAGGGCACTAAAGCGAAATTTTGTTTCCGCAGGTAATACAGGATCCAGGTTTGAGAGAGAGGAATCTGGGTTTTCTTCAGGGAATGACATTACGGGATGCAACAAAATTAAGACCTGATGCTTACAAGGCATTACTGTCTGCAAACCCAGATAGAAACATCCCTGTAAGTCTTTAACTGACTATCAGACTATAATAACGCCATGGTTTCTTAGTCCTGTTGTTTGTGACTTATCAATATCCATGATATTAGACTGGCTGTTTGGTTTAGGTAGCACCTAGGCGATCAGAATCTCAACTGGATCGCATAATGGCTAACTTTAGCTCATAAATCTGATCCTCATTATCTCAAGTGAAAATCCTTGCATTTATTGACTGCATCGTAACAACAATGTCCATTTCACTTCTGGTTTGAAAGACGTCTAGAACCCGTGGGTTATATCTTGATGAGACAAATCCAAACTGCAAATGTACTCTGGCCTTTTTCACTGTTAATCAGATGCAAGATGGTTGGTAATAGGTTAATTTATGACAATGGCAGTGGCCTAAGAGACTACGGCATCAAATGAGTGTTAGACGGTCCGTTCATGGTGGTCTACGTCTTTTACCCAAGTGATTATCCTATTATTCTTTTCTGAAGTCGCTGTTTGTCACATTATTGTTCAATAGTATGCCAAATTCTGGTCTTATTCTGCACAGGGCTACAAGTACAAGTACACTCATCTGGCTTGCACCATTTAATTGTTACTTGATTTTTTATTTATTCTTTTAAAATCTGGTATCCATTTTATGACATCTAGGGTGGTGGGGAGAGTGTTAATCAGCTTCATCAACGGTGCACATCTGCTGTGGAAAAAATAGCCATGAAACATATTGGTATGCTACTCAGCACGAATTTTTCCTTCTCCATCTCTCACTTAACCAGTACAAATTTAGTTTTGCTTGTGATGATAGGAACCAGTTTTTAATGGGAAACAGTACTTTTTAGTGTTATCAGAAAAAAAAGGTGCTGTTTTGATGTAACCCTAACAGATCCATCTCAATTTTTTATGTAGCTGAAATTGTGTAAACTATCATCCTCGAATTATGTTCTAAGCTTGGGTTCTGTTGGAAATATTTGAGGGATGAAGAGAAGGCATCTGGATATTTTATATAATTTCTCCATGGCTGATATTAAGAGACTCCACTGTAAAAGCTTCCTGTAGGTCCATTTTCATCCAACTTAGAGACATGAGTTCACTTTAATTATTCTCAGTTGGTGCTTCTTGATGTCATAATCTTCTTGAATTGTCAGATTTAAAATGATGTATTTCCTTATCAGTTCTGCTCACTTATGCATGAACTTCCAAGGTATATGACTTTGCAAGACAAGTCCTCCCCTAGACGAAATGAATGCGAGGTAGCTGCAGAGCGAATACATAGAATCTGTATATTTCATCAGAAAAGCATTATGTTATGATTTCATCAGAAAAGCATTATGTTATGATTTCATCAGAAAAGCATACACATTAGATGCATACATCTTATATTTCATTATGTTATGATTAAGACAGGTATGATTGTAAAGCACATACATGTTATGACCATAACTATTGTGCGAGTCCGATAATTTCCCTCACTAGGTGTTACTGGAATTGATTGCTCATCTTTTTATGAGCTCATTCCAGACTAAGTTATATAAGTGGTTTGAACTTAAGATTGCGCATTGTTTCTGCAGGAGAGAGAATTCTCATAGTCACCCATGGCGGTGTTTTGAGGGAGCTCTATAAGAAAGCCACCCTTGGAGGGTCACCAGGGTCAAAAGTCTTGAATACTTCAGTGAATTTGTTCCACATTCATGACGATGGAAGCAATTGGATGCTTAAGGTATGGGGTGACGTGAGTCATCTCCAGGGGGCTGCATTTCTCGAGAATTCATTTGGTGGTGACAGGACTTCGGGATGATCTATCTTTCTTTGGTTGAAGACTAGAACAAGGAGGCAAGTGTGCAGCTTTCATTAGGCATCAGCTTCTGCAGGTATGGTAAAAAGTGTGGTTTCATTCTTTGTTGGGGTTGCGGCTAAGCGGAAGAAAATATGGGCTGATATTCATTTTGTATTTGACAATTATAATCCCTGAATGATGAATACAGAAACTTCATTCTTTGGTTCACAGAGTATCACCTTTCTCGAATCCACTGAGAAAGTTTCTTGAGGATGGATGGGTTCCTCTATTTTTCTATTTTTAGTAATAATTTGTGAACGTAGGTAATCCTGCCTTAGAGTTAAGTATCTTTATTCTTTTCAAAGTGACTGTCAAATCCAGCAAAAGTCTTCTCTTCATGTAAGAAGCTTTTTCAACTGTTAGTGATGTTACACCATCAATTTCATTTGATTAATTTCAGCCACTCTGAATAGCAAAACTATTTTTGCTTTTAGTTAGCTAAAAAATTGAACCAACAAAGGTACTCATTCTTTAAAATAAGAAATGTAACCAATCAATGCAAAATTTACATAGTTTGGATGCATATTACATAATTTACTATCTTCAAGTTTTACCACCCTTACAAACTACATATATGTTTCAAGTCCTTGCTATCTTAAAGGATGCTGAGCTTGTGCTAAAAATATATTGAATACAACTTTCAGAAAGAATTTCTAAAGTCTCAACCTTACAACCTTAATTCATGGATGTGAAAGAATTTATCTTGGTTCCGAAAAAAAGATTCGTAAATAACCAATATAATCAAATTGTTTTTCAAGTTCATAAAGCATTGATCATCTCAATCAAAATAACCACATGACATTGAATCATTGATCAACTTAATCATACATTGAATCATTGATAAGCAAAAGGTAAAATCATCCAATCAAAATAACCACATGACATTTCAAAAGTAAAATGAGATGTATGCTGACATGAATTGTTATTTAAAAAATATTTTGTCATATGCCAAAATGTGTCAATGATTCAATGTATGATTAAGTTGTACATTTTTGTAAACATTTAACATAAAACTCCATATCATTTTGCACATGTTCGTTTAATAATATTGATATTGTGTAAATATCTTAGAGCAATAGTATTATGCCAACATTTTAAATTAGTTACGTCATGCTGATTCACCTACTAGTTGTTGAATTAGAAGATGTCAATTTTAATTTTTATAACTGAACTCAAAATAGAAATTAGAATTATATGTTCTAGTGAGTGAGAGACATAGGCAATCTGTTTTATTTAAACTATTTATTTATACAGCATTCAACCACAATGTTAAGAATAAAGAGAATATTCAACTTCAAGGTAAATTAAGCTATGAATAAAAATTACAATCGAATCTCTTCCTCGTTTGTCACACAAGGGCAAAGATAGGACGATCTAGGGGCTTTGAATGTAGAAACAAACCTCTCAAAATAAAATAAAATAAAATAAAATAAAATATAAAGAGAAACTAAAGTTTAAATCCATTGTGTGACTTTCACCCAGACTACTAATAAAGTGCAAATTTAAGACAAATCACAAGGTAAAATTAAAAATCAAGTTAACAAGATGTAGGTAACCCATTGTGTTGGGCTGACAGAATAGGTGGGCTGGGCCAGGCAAGGTGGATGGAGAGCAATAAGTGGTCACCTTAGGGGGATTGCTGCTGAACCCTAAATCAGGCATTGTGGCCGTGACTCAAGGCTGGGTATTCTAGCTCTATAGGAAGGTGACAAGCTACATCAAATAATAATCTATATGGTGACATACCCAATAATATTAAACCCTTGATTTTAGTTTACCTAGAAATACATGCAATGAGAATTAAACAACCATAACTTTTGATCAATGTGAAAATATTTTCTAAAGTGTGTCTACCATGAAATGGGTTGGTTTTAGTTTTATATTATTTTATAACTTTTATAAGCTTCATTTCTCAACTCTTCTAGTTCATTAATTTACAATGTTCTATACTGATCAACTTGAGTTAGGTCTAAATTAAATTATTTAATTACCCAATAGACTTGATGTTCTAGATCTATGGGAAGGTGACAAGCTTTATCAAATACTAATCTATATGGTGACATACCACTAGGTGTTTTATATGCTATATGATAAACCTATAACACGTCATCTAATTTTGTTGACCAATTTTTTCTATCAAGATGGATGACCTTCTACAAAAGTTCTTTAATCTTTGTATTTGATACTTTTACTTGACCATTGGTTTGTTGTTGATATGGAGTCACCACCTTATGGTTGACTCAATATTTCTTAAACAATGATCTAAATTAGGCATTGGTGAAATGAGAATCTTTCTCACTAATAATAGCTCTTGGACACCCAAATCTAGAAAAAGTATCCTCCTACACAAATTTAATCACAATCTTATGGTCATTGATCTGAGATGGTATTTACTTCAACCTATTTAGATACATAATTAACAATCATAGAATGTATTGATGTCCAAACGATTGTGGAAAGGGCTCATGAAATTTATGCCCCAAATATCAAATATGTCAACCACTAGAACATGATTCATTAGCATCATATTTCTCCCCAAATTATTCATAACTACTTGAGGCTTTAGACATGTTTTATTAAAGTGGTAGGGATCTTTAAAAAGTGCAGGCCAATAGAATCTACTTTGTACAACTTTAGTCATTGTCTTTTTCCTTGAAAAATGCCGACCCAAAATTAAAGTGTGGTAGAAGATCAAAATGCTTTGTTGTTCCTCTTCTAGGACACATCTTTTAAAAATTTGTTCAGTCCTTGAACGAAATAAGTCTAGGTTATCGGAAAATAATATTTTAGCCTAGTAAAGAACACATCCTTTTCATTCTTAGACTAACAATTGGGTAGTTTACTTGTCACTAGATAATTAACTATGTGAGCATATCATGGTGGATAATTGTGACTGCTCACTAAAAATTGTATATTAGGAAATGAATATAGTAAAAGTGTGTGATAAGTGGTTGACAACTATGTTTTCAAGTCCCTTCTTATCTTGGATTTGTAAATCAAATATTACCATAATAAAAGTTAACAAATGAGTCTTGATTTAGTCTCTTTTTTATTTAGCAAAACTTTTAGGGCTGAGTGATTAGAGTAAACTATGACTTTGGCCCTTAGTAAATAAGAACAAAATTTTTCAATGACAAGAATTACAACTAATAGTTCTTTCTCAATTGTGCTACAATTAAATTGAGCCTTTGAAATATCTCTAATTACATAATAAATCATAACTGAATTTTTATTAATTTGTTGTCCTACGATAACCTCTATCACATAATTTAAGGCATCACACATAGTTTAAAAAGGGGCTGACTAGTTGAGGAATTTGAAGATTGGTGCATGGATCAATGTATTTTTAAGTGTATTGAGAGCTTCTATATGCATCATCCAAATGGGAATGATTATCTTTGGCTAAGAGCCTAGTTATAAGACGAGGGATTGTAAATTTGTTTTTAATAAATTATGATAAAAGCCAACATATCCTAAAAATGACCTAATTTTCTTAATTGAAATAGGTGAAGGTAAAGTGGATATATATCCTCTTGTCTTATCTACTTCAAGTTTCCTTTCACTAATTATGTGGCCAAGGATACTACCTTCTATCACCATGAAGTGACTCTTCTCCCAACTAAGGACTAGATTCATTTTGATGCACAAAGTAGAAGCCTTCTATAGATTTTTTAAAAATATGACAAAGAAATCATTAAAAAAAAATCATCAATGAAGATTTCAAGAAATTCACCAACTAAATCTAAAAAGATTGACATCATACATCTTTGAAAGATGATTGATGCATTACATACTCTAAATGACATTTATTTAAATATGAATGTTCCATATTGACAAGTAATTATGATTTTTCTCTAATCTTTCAAATAGTGACTAATTATATCTAAAATATTTACCTAAGAAGTAAAAATATTTTTATCCAGCTAGTATTTTTAAAATTTGATGTATAAATAGAAAGTTCAAATGATATTTCTTGGTGACAACATTAAGTTTCCTATAATTTATATGCACTCGTCATCTAGTTTTCAATCTCTCATTTGTATTTCCTTACTTTGTTCACCTTCTATTATAATTATACATGATTATTTAGGCACCATTTGAGTCAAACTAAAATATTAGTTGTCGAAAATGAGATGTATGAATCCAATGTCAAATCATTTGACTACTTCCTTATTTGTTACTTCATATTTAGATTTGAGATTCTTTGTATTTCTTAGTTTGTTTTAGTATTATCTTCTACATACATGTGGTGAATACAAATAGTCAAACTTATATTTTTAAATTCACTATGGTCCATCAAATAACATTTTTATGTATTTTTATAACTTTTAAAACTTTCTTTTCCTACACATGTAAAATGAGTAGAAATAATAACGAGTAGAATCTGATTTAGTCATAAGAAAATGTACCTAGTAAGTTTGACAAAGGTTCCAATTCTAAGCTGAGGGTATTACAAGGGAAGAGTCATTATATCAAATTACAATAAAGGAGATACTTTAATTTTTGATTTGACACAATTTTTCAAGTGATATTTAGATTGTGTAGATTTGTTGGACCTGATTATTCATTGAAAATATATGATTGAAATCTTCAATCTAACTAATGTTATTAAACTCCCCTTCTTCCTCCTCTTCTCCATCTTAGTATTATTATTCCTTATAGACATTAAATGATATGTTTTAATCCCCAAAAGAAATGTCCATCAATCCTATGTCACAATTAATGTTCACCTTGGTGGTGGCTAAGAACAAACAACCTGAAATAATTGGCATTTGCATAAATCTTGAAGATAATTTATGTCACAAATAAGAAAATCTAACATTCAGGTTAGTTTTACTTCTTGACTAATCTATCAGCCAACTACAAGACAATTTAGGTCAGTTTAAATTTTCTTAAGTCAAATTGTTCATAAATAGAAGTGGGTAAGGGGTTCAATCATAATTTTATAGAAATAATATACT